CGCGATATTTCTTGCCGCCCAACGCGAGCCCAGAGCGTTCGCCCGTGCAAACATCGCGGAGCCCGCACGAGTGGCGTGCGCGGTGTGCAGCTCGCTCGCGTGCGCGCCGAGTTTCGGCGCCTCGTCAAGGTATCAAAAACCGACGAGGATACGGCTAACTAGGCTTGCGGCCCGCTGCTGTTACGCCTATGACTGACGACTGACGTCAGTCCCGGCAATTCGTTCTTCACATTTGCCATCGCTCGTCGACGAGGTACAATGACAACGACGGAAGCGCCGCTCAACTCTAGCCTCGCCTCTATAGAAATAATAAGCTCGGGCATCGCAGCTAACTGACAATGCGTTCCCTTACGAGTAGAGAGGCATCGCGGAGGAAGTTTCGTTTGATTATTGGATATAGTGCTGACGTTCTCGGGAGAAACGAGATCAAGTTGGAGTTTTGCCTGAATAAATTAGTTGCGTCGTGGCCGACGGGCAAAGTTTCGGTCTACGTATATCTTGGCGAGTATATTCACCGAGCAAGCGAGCGAGTAGCAGCAGCTAATTAACATCAGAATGACGAGGGCCAATCGATACAGCGGAGGGTCGCGGCGCGATGCTGTCCAGCGGGACGCAGCGTTGCGCCGCAGGTGTAATAGGGTATACGGGGCCTGTATGCGCTCGGTAGCTGCAAACTTTAGACTCGCGTACCATTGGAAATTCCGAGCGAGCTTTTCGCCGACGTACAGTCCGAAAGGAATCCGTGCCGACGCTGTTCGTCAATTGCCAATGCAGGGAGCTACTTACGAACAACTGGCGTGCAAGCTGTGAAATTCGGTTCTCTCTCTCTCTCTCTCTCTCTCTCTCTCTCTCTCTCTCTCTCTCTCTCTCTCTCTCTCTCTAGGCGAAAGGCTCGCCAATGGCTCTATCAACTTTTGGCAGCTGATGGATTACGGATTTCGCTCGTTAAGTTGAGCAATCGAAGTCTCGTATCAGCGATCAAGCTTTAAAAAAAAGCATCGGTGAGGTTGGCAAACTCGCGGATCGATCGCTCGCTCGTTCTCAATTTCACGCTCGTCACTTGCTATACGTGTCGCGCCCGTTGGCTTTCGAGCTGCGGCGCGCGCGATCTGCCGTTTGAACTGATCCGCTCGCGAATTCAATCAGCGGGATTCTTGCGAACAACTTCCGTCTCGTATTATCTTACTTGCCTTGGACGTAATTTCCAACAGCTCCACTCCTTCGCGATTGATGTCCTTGTCGGTCGTACCTTCAACTAGACGTCGGGCGCTACAAAATGCATCCTCTATCCATTGACCCTCTTGCACCTTCGTGTCGCAATTCCGCTACTAATTCGGTCTAAAGTGCTGGTTAAACCGTAACCTCTCAACTATTGATCTAAATCATTTTCCCTTTGCATCTAAAGGAGTTGCGATGCTACATACATACAAGGCAGCTTATGGCGAAAGCGCGTGCGGAAAATGTGTAGCACTCCCATTAAATTTACCGACGTCTTTATCTTTAGTGGCCGTACTGAGCGTGGAACCCACACGAGATAAACGGAAATAAAAAGATCGAGTTGAAGCTTCATCTGGTTGTTCTGCTTCAGTGATAAAACGCTCTATTTCGGGTCTTCTCGATTTATCTCGTGTAAGCGAATTAAATAATTGAAAAACCGAGCGCTTCAAAGTGAAAGCATAATTTGCTGCGAACGCGTATCATGGAGCGCTGAACGTAATCCAAACTAAGGCTTTGCGCCGCCGCTTTATGCTGCAGCCGTGCGTGCGATAGCCGTAAACGAGCGCTGTGCATCTGACGTAACGTTCTGTCTTTTTATTTTCAAATACGACTTTTACAAAGCCAACCATTTGAAACAAGTACAATCTCTCGTACGATTGTCATCCATAGCAAGTGCTATTTTTAAATATAATATAATCAACGAAGCAGACGATGCACGTTTGGTGGAGCATACAAATATCGACTTGGCTTGTCGATTAAGTTATCTGATTCAACAGCTTAACTGATTATTTTTTTAGCGACCTATATTGAATCGCATTTATTGTATTGATTTAAAGTTACATGTCATTAGTTCGGCTTTTCAATAATTTAATTTGGACCAGCAAAACCTGCGATTTCCGCTCTCTCTCACTTTCAGCGATTGAATATTTTTAACAATACTTGACGCCTCGGATAACGACCCCGCGGAGGAAAAAATGCAAAGGTGCAAAACGAATGAACGAACAAACAAACAAATGAAATGAACAAAAAAAAAGGCAAAATAAAATCAAACGAATTTAAAGCTCGAGCGGTAGAAAACGAAAAGTGAGACAGAGACAATAGAAGGAGCGAACAGGAGAGAGAAAATGCATAGCCACATTTTCAATAGAGGACCTCGGCGATTGGAGCTGCGGCTGTGGCTCTGGACTCTTTCTGATGGCGCGGCGCGGGGCTGCGACGGTTCTAATTAACGATCCCACGACGAATGGGCCACGGTATGAGAGAAAAGAGCCCCGATAAAATGGAATAAAGACGCAGTGCCGCCAAGCCTGATTTATCTATCTTCCTCCCGCATACGTGAAACAAAGTTTTTCACAGCCGCGCGCGATTTTATTTTTGCACCGCAAAACAGAAAAAAAAAACCGAAAAAAAGACGAGCGAGAAAGTGGCAAGACCTGCGCACGCAAAGAAAAAAACAATCCCTCGACCACAGTGTCACGTTTAATTGAACAAACTTTTATTCCGCGTGTTCTCAGATCGAGTTGTTTTTTTCACGCCCAACTCGTCCTTTCGAGGAAAACTTATCCGGACCGTTCGGCGGTAAACATTCATTGTCTTCGCGCGTTAGCCCGCCGAGGCAATTCCGGCTACATTTTAAATTTTCGATTTCCACGTGCAGCATATGGATCGCTGAAGCCGCGTACACGTGGATATGGGTATTGCGCTAATACTTGCGCTCGCGAACGGAACTTGCTACAGTTTTCGCTCGTGCTTCGCGCTGCTCCGTCATAAATTCCCGACACGTTTGATACGCACTCAGACTCATACGAATATTAAAATTCCTCCGAGCGTACCATGGAATACCGTCTGTCTATCTGCTTTACGCGTTTTTCCTTCTTCTATTTTTATGTTGCCTTGTAAACTTGAACTCAGCGGGAAACTTGGAATAAAGTAAGAAATAGCTTTGCAGTTGCCTTTGACCAAGGCAGACGCATACTTTGAATGCTAAGGCCACACATACAAGTCCTGATTCGGAATTTCACATTTACTACCGGAGCTGGCCTGGACGATATAGAATGTCTAGGTATTCCGGGTCTTTTCCAAAGATTTCTTCACATGGTTCAGTCCTACGAATCGCTATGATGGAAATAGTTGAATGTCAGTCTGCTACGAAATACAGTCGCCTGTCTCCGCTACGCTGTGGCTTCTACTTCAGTATTCAATCGTCTCTCCGACATTCGAATTTGGTCATTTCGCGCGCACTGCATTTTACATTGCCGCTTGTTGTTTCGCTTTTCACTGTCAGATACGCGTGAGCGAGCTCTTTCTTTTACAAAAATAGACTATACCGGATATTGACTTTGATCAAAGCTGCGCTAGGGGAGGAGTCTTTTATGTTCAAATATGCGCGAACTTTATAAATAAACGAGATTCAAGATTTACGTTTATATTTTATTTGGTGTGTTTATACGCTACACACGAGTACTTTCAAGTGCCTATCTCCATTCACATGCACGTACCTATTCAAATATTGGACAGGTCAAATTATCGTGCGGGAACCTCTTCTGTGCGCGGATGTGCACGTGGGCTCAAATAGAATGCAGGATCGATTAAAATATTGACGAAAGATTTTTGGAGATTACCAGACTTTAAAATTATGAGGTTGAATGTAAATTATTGCGAGGGAAAGTTCCACTTTGCATGTAGCGAAATTGCTGTCCAACGAGTGCGCGCGAAACTCAATATTTTAAAATGCTGCTGCTCCCGACTCTCGATGGAGGATGCTAATAGCCATTAATTATGCGGTGGGTTGCGCTCCCCCGCAGCATCAACTGCTCTGTCTATTAAGGCACTCTATGACCCAAAACGATGTTCAGCTTGCTACTAATAACTTTGAGTGATGTTTAATGCATTACCTATTTTGTTTTTCTACATCACGGACAATCTATGTGCGTTTTAAACTTTTTTAAAGACGATAATATTCATTTTGTTACGCCATAAAAGCGTTGTTCCCGAAAAACATTTTGGGCATTGATCTATTCGAACAAAAGCAAACATCACGCTTTTCACTCGTTTTTTCAACTGTACACTCGATGATTTATGGACTTAAATTTTTCGCGCGAAACTGGGGTTGAAAATAAGCATATTAGTTTGACGGGGATAGTTTAAAAATAAAAATAAAAAGTTATTTGAAATACAGGATTTCGAGTAATCAGTCTCGGTATCGCCGTTTTTGCGTTCGAGCTTAGAGCGATCGCCGAGGCTGATGATTACTAGGTACTCGTAGGTCAACAAGTGTTCGAGTTGATTAGAGTAGCGTTTACTGGAATGTACTGCCAACTTGCAAATGTAAATTGCGTTATAGAGTTTAAAAGTCGTTGCTTTGTCGTATCTGTTTAAGTTGGAACAAGAGCAAATTGATCTTGTGACCGCTGGATCCTAACGGGAGAGTCTGATAATGGGAGGCACAAGTGGCAATCACCATGCCAAATAATAGCACTTCTAGCAATGGACTTACAGTCACATAATCGTGCCGACTGGACGCCGGATTATTAAAAATTCGCCACGTTTTTAACATTCCCTACGTATGTGCATACTGATACGCGACTGCTGTGAGATACGAAACAGTCATATCTCACGGGCGAAGATTGTAAAATCTTACTGCTACATGAAAACCATTGTTATACCTTGTTCAACATTCCAAGGGCGTTTCAATCGTTTCACGAGGCTCAACTTATCGGGACAAATATAATGTGCCTACTAATTGTGTATTATTTACTATGTTTTAATATCTGATTTTTAAGGGCCTGATGCAAACTCTGAAATTGTACAACGGGTATCCGGCAGATCTCGAAAAGTGTGATGAAAACTTTGACGTAAGTATTCTATGATAATTTCTGTAATAAAATAAAAATTTTGGCGATTAAAAATGGTATTGAATTCAACTGTTTAACGTAACGAGCATTATTTACAGTGTTGGCGATGACGCGTGTTATACGACGAACCTCGAAAATAGATTGCTCGAGGTTATACTGCCAGGAAAAATTTGAATGTTGACTTGCAGCCTTAAGTAGGTCCGAGTGAGTTATGAATGGGCGATAAAATCGCGTAGGGTGAGGTATATATTTATTTAGCCTCGCGGCTCGATTGAAGGGAAAGAGCAGCGCGCGAAATTCGGCAGGGCGCCGCGAGGGGGAGTCGACGCTGTTTGCCAAAGTGTCAAGCAGCTGCGGTGGCGGCGGAAGACGACAATTTGGCTGCGGTGAGCGATCGCGGCGAGTCAGCCTCGATAAATCGGGCGATTTGCAACGCGGCCGGCTATGCCACTGTCGAATATGCAAATTCGCTCGAGTGCCGGGGCCGCAAATAAAGAACGCTCGCCCGCGGCTGATTTAATATAAGCCCGCGGCCCGGCGAGCGCAATTTTTCCCCGTAATGGCGAGCCTGATGGGAAAACAAATTGGAGGGAAAATGAGCTGCGAAACTTCTTGGAAAAAGCTTCGCTGTCGGGGAGGGTGAAAAGTGGTGCGCGCGCGTACGTAGGGAGGCGAGCTCGAGCGCATGCAGCGGGGCAAGCGGAGCGCGCGAGTGGCCGCGGCACGGCCCCGCAGCCTATTGATATTCCAACGGCGAACGGGCCAAACGTTCAATGCGCAAACAGGGACCGAGCCATGGACAGGTGCGCGTCTATGCATCTCTCCAAATGAGAATAGCTTTGGTCGCAGGGGGGCGGCTCGCGCGCGATTCCGTCCGCGAACTCGCGGGGTCCCGTTCCGATATGAGTCTCGTCGCACCCAATACCTCTAGCAATATCCCCGGCAATCTTCTCGTCGCTCTGCCTGCGTGATTCTCGGCCGTTCGTACGTCGAGATTGCGCCGGGCCTTCGTGCGATTTCCATTTTTGCCTTTCCACGCTGAAAGTGCAGACGCCTCGCGAGACGCTGGCAGAGCTCGCCGGTGAAGCTGCATTAATTCATCATTTTTGCTCTGGCTGATTGTAGTTCCTTTCGGATGTCGGCTCGGGAGATGACGAGATCACTGGCTCGGGGGATATCGAATCTACCGTGAGTTATGTGCCATTAGCCCCTCCCCATTGCTCCTCTTCATGTTACGCGTACTCAATCAAATATTTCCACTCAATCAAACAACTCTACTTCTATCTCACTCTCTCTCTCTCTCTCTTTCTTTCTCTCTTATGATGCGGCGCCTCTTGAGCCCATTCTACGTAACACGCACCTTGTAATTAAATACGCCATGCTATTGACTTTTGTACACTTAACACCTGTACTGTATTACAGTCTACTTGAATGATCGCTACGCAAACGTTTTCCGAAAATCGGCGCGTGTTTACTATGCGACATTGCTCATTCTCTTGACTCGATTGTCGTATATTTTGCATTTGTTACGAGCTGCATAGCCGGTCATTCGATATATCAGAGCATTTCGTTACTCTACAAATTGGAAACAGCATTAACATTAACTAGATCTAACCTGCCTTGCAATCTTCAAAATAATTCTATAATCATTCGCTTGAATACTCGGTCATTTGAAGCTGCGCGAGTAGAGTGAGAGAGAAAGAAGTGGATACTTCTTGGGGATTGTTAATACGGTGACGATGAAATTACTTTGAACGTCCGCTGTCTAAACACAACACACGCGCGCGCACGAGTCGTCAAATTGATTTGGCGCGCGGAGCAGATGGTCAAACGTGCAAACAAAGCGCGCCAGGCCGCTATGACTGGTGGCAATTTGCCACCAATCAAGCTTTGGCCGCGACGTGTCATGTCCACGTGGCCAAATAATTGACTGATTCCGTAAGGAAAGAACGCAAACGGAACTCGCTAATTCCGACAGGGACTGCGATATGAGCGCGGGAAGCTCGGAGCAGACGTTGCAATTTTTAACGTGCACCGTTCGATTTCGCAGCAAAGGAGGCCAAAGGTAAAGTGGACTGAAAAAAAGACGGCCGAACCCTGATAGCCACGCGAGTTTGTGTGTGTGTGTGTGCGCGCGCGCGCATCAGAGCGTGTATCACGATGGGCTCGGTGGGAGCGGTGGGTTATTGGAAATTACTTAGTAGTGCCGGCGTAATCGCGTCTATGAAAAGGCTCAATTTAGCCCGTTTGCCTCTTCCATTCTCTCTCTCTCTCTCTCTCTCGCTCTATCCGCGCTGGCGTATATTAATTACGGCGGCGGCGCTCGCAGCGCGAAGTAACGGAAGTCACGCGGCCGCAGCAGCAGCAGCTCCAGCTCGTTTATCATTTGCTGCGGGGGTGGAAAGCGGCTCGCGTGACCCGCCAGCAGCGGGGCTCTTCTACTACGGGTCCGCCCGATATGTGCTGCCAGGGCTGCAACACTTTTGACAACTACCCGAGAAATGATGGAAGACGAGGTGCGGCGCAGTATGCTGTGCTGCCCCGTGGCGACCTCGATAAACCGGCCTCGATCAGATGCTACATCTACTGCTACCACCGCCTCCCCACTCCCGTTTCCCCTTTCAATTTTCAACCGCAAATCTCATTCCGCCTCGACAGCTACTTTACTTTGAATTTCTCTATTCCAACGACGCGGCTTCGCGCAACTCCAGCTGCGAGGTGTACTCGGTAGCTAATGCTTCACGCCTTTAATGACAAAATTATATTGCCGGATGAGTTCGGTCAATATTCTAAATAAACGAGACAACATTCATTTATTTTTGACTTTACATATTACGAGAAGTCGTATAAGAAGTTGATTTAACTTGACGTCAGAAATTCACTTCAGTTGTTTGATATTTAGACTTCCGTTTAAATAATTGAAATCCAATGTCTTCCCTTTGTATTGTTAATGACTGTTTCAATAAGGAATGGCATAAAATGTTGATATTGAACGACATAGGAGATGGCCGGTTAAAGGAAGGAGCCCGTAAAAAGGCGAGGCAGACGAGGAAAAGCAGCTTTATTCAGACGTAAGGGAGTCCAGTCGTCGGGCCGCCCCAAGCCCGAGTGGCAGTAGCGCGACAAAGAGGGAAAGTCCGAGTACGCGCGGGTGACTACGCGTTGTCAGCACTCGCTCGCGTTGTGTACACTGCTCTATACTAAGCTCTTGTCTCTCAAACTCTCATGCTTACATATTCCTGGCTGTTGCACGGCTCTCGGGCGGAGTGCGCGCAGCGCCCCGCCCGCCCACTCATTTCGCCAATTATCACATTAACTAATTTCGCGCCTGAACCATAATCTTTTATCTCGGAGACTTTGACTTCGTGCTCGCACGATTCTATCGTAGATTTGGTTTCTCTACCTGGCGGACTTTACGTCATGTTAACGAAAAATTCAACGAAAAATATCCGATCGCCATTAAGTGTGTAACCAATTAACATGCCTAAACGCGTCGTATGACTTGTAAAGAAAGAGTAGCGCGCTATCGTCCGTGCTGTCGCTACTCCGTTGAGCTGCAAGATTAATTGCTATTTATACAGAGAGCTGGTTTAAAATTTCAGAGCGAATTCGTAGACGAGGATACCGTGACTCTTCCACCTGCGATAACACCACCGCCTCCAGATCTAAGTAGTGAGTGAAGCGCTGTTGTTGAATTATATGTTGCGTCCCGTAGTTGAGTTGACACGTTGAAAAATTAACACTGCCGGGAGTTGCAGCGAAAGGAGGAATGAAAGGAGAAAAAGGCGACAAAGGCGAGAAGGGGGAAGGCGTGAGAGGTCCGCCGGGACCTCCCGGCAAGGGTTACGATCTCAATGACGAGGTAAATACAAGCGAGAAACTATCGTGAGGACTCGAGCTTGAGAAGTCGCTGCCATCGAATGACGTAACGTGAAGCCAAGGAGCATCGGGTTTTCCCGTTGTGATCGTTACTGCCCCAAATTTGCAGGAGTGGACGTCGCGACTGCCGCAAGGGCCGCCCGGGCCTAAAGGTGATCCAGGCGAGTGCAGCTGCAACGCGACCTCGATATTCTCAGCGTTGACAATGCCCGAAATCACTCGTGGCCAGAAAGGCGAACCTGGCCCTCCAGGCAAAGAGGGCAAGCAGGGCCTCATCGGGCTCACGGTATCGTTATAACGGAACCAGATTAAGTTCGCCGATGATGTATCGCGCGCAATTTACGTACAAACCATGATCGACAACAATTGCATGCACACAAACACACGCAAAGGCGCACACGGCAATGCGCAAGCTGTAAGACGGTTTACTGATTCGAGCACGCCTCTGCGTTGTTTACAGGGAGTTGCTGGGCCGCCAGGCGAGCGTGGCCAAGAGGGACCGCAGGGCCCGAAGGGCGACAAAGGCGACGTAGGTGGTATCGGGCCGGAAGGACCGCAGGGTCAGAAAGGCGAACCCGGCAAGGACGGCCTCGCTGGCGAAAAGGGCGCCCCCGGCCCACCTGGACCACCCGGCAAGGGAGATTTTGCCGGCTTCGACGTGAGTATCGCGACGTACGCTACGACGAGACAAAACGAGAACACACACGGCGAAAGGGAGAGCGAGAGAGAGAGAGAGAGAGAGAGAGAGAGGAAGAGAGGGAACACGCCAAAGTAGGTTATTCCGATATAAGTGGCTCGCTTGGCATCTCCGCGACAATGAGCTCGCGATGTCCTTTGGAAATGGCGTCTCGCGCGCGCGTCGCTGCATATATAGCCCCGGTGGGAGCGCGTCGCGTCCGTCGGGACGCCCGCGCGCGCGCGGCTCGATATTACTCGCGGCAGACATGTCCGGTAGCTGATATCCACTTCCACCCGGCTTTGTTACACTCTGCCATCCCGCTCGCGTGCGCCGCTTCTTTTTCCCATGGGCCATCCTCGTTTCTTTCTTTCTTTCATTCTTTCTTTCCGACGCCAAGCTTCGCCCTTCCATTTCCCAACTCTTCCTTATTTACTTTCCCTTTGACAGTCGAGCTATCGAGCTACATAATACAACGTTCGCGTATTTTTTAATCAGTGCTTTCTAACGACGCCGTTCTTGCTCGATGATTTGCATTATCGAAGATTTCTCTCGAAGGACGTCGAATTTTGTTACTCAATTACTAACTGTCGATACTCGTTCAGTGAGATCTCTAGTTTTTTTTTTTTAATTTACTTCATACATTTCGGATAAGGTCTGACGTGTTGGCTCATCTGCGAGAAAATGCGCTAGAGGCAGAAAGAGGGAGAGAAAAAAGCATTTGTTCGTTCAGCTGGTTGGCGGTTGCGTAGCCGAGGTGCGTTGTGCGTCGCGACGAAGCGCCGATGAACGTTGACATAACGAACTCTCCTCTCTCCTCGTGCAGTCGAAAAAGGTAGCGACGCCGTAGGCTTCTGCTCTTCGTTCAGGCAGACGCACTTGCAGCTAACGAGCCTAGCCGCGCTATTTGTCTCTCTTTTCACTTCGTCCTTCAGCTCACTCTTGTCTGTCTTAATGTATATATACGTACGATCTTCTTGTTTCGTCGGGAGAACAAAACAATGGTGCGGCGAAACCTTAAAAATGCACGCCAACAGTGTGGCTGCTTAAAAAAAAATACTATATCTGGTTTGAACTGTTACTTTCCTGCATTTAACTTAAAGTTGCGTACAAAATAAAATTAGATTGCATTACTTTATTTTTTGGAATGTTATTTGAAGATGCAAAGTATGTACACAATTTTACAGTCTATTTCTCATATTACATAGATGTTATAGTCATTCAATTCTACTTATCTCGTAACTTTAAAAAATGCACAATTTCATTATTTTTTATTTTACGATAATATCTGCTCCGTACTTTTTATCTACACAAAAGTGTACATTGCAGTCGACGTCGGTATGTCAGGACAAGGACAACGTAAATGGAAATCCGTAGTGATTCCCCGTAAATCCTTTCGCGTGCAGTCGAAAATTCCAATAATGACTTTGTATGTGACTCGCTGTCGAAGTTTCCTGGCTCAAGAAATAAGGTTCAGCCGCAAATGCAATAGGCAGTTCTAGAAATTGATTCCCGCATTCCGCAGGGAAATTGACCTGACTGTCTTTTCTTTTCAGTATCCCTACTTTTTCTTTATGCTTTTAAGTTCGGTTTTTCCGGCGTACAGATTAATTAAGATACGAAGCAATTGATTTGATATTTTGTTCGTTTTCCATTACATTCTACTGTTTCTATCAATTATACTGAATGCATGTACATATTCTCATCATTTACAATATTCAATTCTATAATTTTTACTCCGTACAGTATAAAAATTCGTTGCAATACTTCCATGCAGTTTACAAATGGAGTTGGAAAATATCCTATAGAAATAACTATCATATCGTTTGATTTGAATGATTTAATAAAAACCTGTCAGAGTTTGGCCAACTATATTATTCTGCCTAGAAATTTCTGGGAAGAGAAGTTTCTTTTTGTTCAGTTATGAAAAATACCGAACTAATAAGCAATTATTAAAATAGCGCCAAAGACGGTAAGTATTTTTTCAAGCTGCTGGGTGGGCAACTTATTGAAAAGTAAATCTCGAGAGTGGATTGAAACGAGCGGACTGTTCGGCGGATGGAACAACTTCATAACTTGAACGAAGTTCGCTTCGTTAAACCGGATGACGGATTTGCGGGCCTTCGAGCTTGACAGCTGAATAGACCAGGCGTAAGCGCGACGCATCAAGTTCTGGTCGTTCAGCATGAAACACTATAGCACTTTGGCAACAGTTATCTTTCCTTCGTCCTTTTTTTCTTATCGTTAACTTGAAAAAAATATACGCAGGGCAAATTTCGAAGCCACTTTTTCACGGGAGACGTGTGCGTAACGAAAATATCTTACTAACATAGAGAATCGCGAGAAGTAAATTATTGCTCTATTTGACGTATATTTGGAAAATGTAATGCGATAAAAGAAAGGAAAGATTACAGGAAAAATTGGAATATGTGAGATTTTCAATGGGAAATGTAGCGAATGCTGCGCCTCAGATGGAAAAAGAAATATGCGGTGGTGTCGTCCTTAAATATTTACTGAAAGAAAGAGAGAAGCCGGAGAGCGCGAATAAAAGCGGTCTGTCGTGTGCTCAAGCAGTACTTTTTGAAAGGAACTCGCAGCAACCTGGTTTCGCAGAAAACACAGCTCTTGTCTTTTACTTCACTCGCAAATCCTTGAGTTCTCTATTTGGACAGCTCGCGGCATCGTGCATACGCGTTAGTGTGAAAAAAAGTACGGAAATAAAAATTAGAATAATTCAAAGCTTGGAAAAGCAGCATTAAAGTCGGATCCGTCATGCAAGCTCATTTGAAAAAAGGAAACAGCCTCTTTCCGCATGGCTGAAGAGCTGTAGGCCAAAGAAAATGCTCGACGACCGAATGTATTTACGGAGATAAACGAGCTTACCGTATTTAGCTATGGCTGTACGAGTTTTCACCTTTTTTGTGCAGCTGTCTGCGTTAAGGTGACATTACATGGTTCGAGGAATCTTATTGAAACTTAATCAATTCGGCAATCATATTAAGCAAATTAAATTTCAGCGAGTGCTTCCAGTCAAATTAAATGTATTCCAAACAACTCGATCACCGAGCTGCAAAGCTAAGAAGTAATTTAAGTCATTTTCGTTTATTCCTTTATCGTCTTTTCATTCGATATCCAGTAATTGACAAGACGTTTTTTTTTTCAAATCTGAATGAGTTCAATGTGGGTCTAACGGGAAATCAAATATTTATAGCGCTGCTAGGTTTCAATCAGCTTTTCTGAATAAAGCCTATCGGTGACATACTTATCGCTACATACTAGTGCTGAATTACTGACTTTACAATATGCGCGGGTAATAATTGAAAAGAAAATGGATGTACTCTACATGTATCAGGTCTATGTTAAGCGTGCGTTGTCGCCTGATCAAAGAGCTTCTATCTTATTCGTGACTGCATATACAGCCGCTGGGTATAGCGCTGCAGCAAATTATTAAACAAACATCGGAAAGGTAGGCGTGCTGAGCCAAAAAACGAGTATCTTCAGTCGGTTCATTTGCAGCAGGTAACAAGCTTGCGAACAAGTCCATTCAAACGTTGGAGTGGCGCTTCGCCTTCTCTTTGCTGTCAACAATTAGCTATGACATTGAGGCGTACTCTTGTATTGACCGCAGGATATCTGCAAGTCAAAGCGTCGGATAATTAGCACCACTTGCATCTCTCGACCTGTAAACTTCCTCTTTCGTGCTCCTCCCGATCGCCCCCCCCCCCTCCTCAATCCTCTTTCACTCAGCCGGTTGCAATCGACTCTTGGCAGTAGAACAATCTTTGACAAGTAAATGCCAAGCTGCCTGATGGAATATGAAATTTGGCTGCCATTGCTATCGTCCCGTCAACTCTATGGTAATCTAACTCACACGGCACCAATCGCAATTTTATTTTTCATTAATGCAATAATTCTCCACGTCTACTGACATACCTGAGAATCATACGCTTGACGGTACGGTCGCGTAAAAAACAATTGATACGAAATGTTTCGTTGCTAACAAACTTGTCAAGGGTAGAAAATTGATACACTAAACTCAACAATATTTCTTAATCCACTTATGCTTGCAATTAACACCTGCTATTGTTTCAAACTTATGCGCATGCAGCCTAGCTGGAAACCCAGAAGTGGCTACAGGGTGAGTTGAGCTGTCATAATCTACGCGCTCGAAAAGTTTTTGCTTGCTGGAGAAATGTTGTAAAAGTATAAGACTGCAGATGCAAATTGTGAAATTTATTCTTCAATGTCTTGTTGCGAGATAAAAATCTTTTTTTCGTAAAAAATGTTATACAAGTTTTAATTACGAAAGAACGTTTTCAAGTAGGAAATCGAAAACAATGTATATATGAAGCGATCTTGTATGTTGAACTACAGGAAGGATATGCAATGCGTCCTGGATTACCTGGGCAAAAAGGAGACGAAGGAAAACCGGGTCACACTGGTCCAAAAGGTAAAGTTTTGTTGAAAAAGTTGGTAATGATGGTATGCGTGAAAAGCTTCGTACTGCCAATTTATGTGATGATACAGGTGAGCCTGGAGTACACGGAGTCAAAGGTGTGAAAGGTGAAGCAGGGCACAAAGGTCACAAAGGTGATCATGGGAAAGAGGGGCCGCGAGGTCATCAAGGCCAAAAGGGTGAACCAGGAGCACCAGGGATTGCCGGATTACCTGGAGCTGTCGGGGAAACCGGACGAACTGGCGATAAGGGTGCCAAAGGAGATGTTGGTCCCGAGGGCAAAAGGGGACCTGCCGGGCCACCTGGACCGCCTGGAATCGGCGGTGCCAGTTCCAGCGATGCTAGTAAGTTCTATTTATGCCTTTTATAAAATTTCACCAATATGCATGATGAATAGGTCGTAAGGATGTTCTTATATCAATTTTCGCACACTTTGTTCGAAAGACTTTGTTTCAAAGATCAAATAAGACAACATCAACTATGAGCACTGCAATCGCTGTCCAAACATTGATAAAATTACAAAAATTCTGTTTTCTTTTACGATTACACTATTGCATTTATTACATAATATATTATCTTATACCTTTATTACGTACTCTATTAAAGAAGAATTATGTCTCCAAAGTGCGATATGAAAAAATGTAGCTGATCAACTTAATTTTGTTTGAACAGCTTTTGGAGGAAGGGGTGCAAAAGGCGAGCCTGGCGAGCGAGGTTTCAAAGGTGAGCTCGGCCTGAAAGGCGAAAAGGGAGACAAAGGAGACGCTGGACCTGCCGGTATTCCTGGAATCAATGGAATTCAAGGACCGCAAGGCAACAAGGGTGAACCAGGTGAATGAAACGACTGTTTATTTTGTTACTCGTCGTTAAAATACTAATTTTATATCTCGCTTTTTCTGCAATGTGCATAAGTAAATACCCGAAGACATCGTAGATACGGCACAAAATCGTTACCTTTGCAATTTATTTCTCATGACGATTGTTTTTTTCATTTAAAAAACTATAATGCTTTTCAGGTAAAGATGGCACTCCAGGATTTCCGGGTACTCAAGGTTCAAAGGGTGACCGAGGTGAGAGAGGGCCACCTGGCCCAACGACAATTGCGGGAGCCGGTGATTATATTACGATCAAGGGCGAAAAGGGCTCCGAAGGTAGACGTGGTCGTCGTGGTAGACCTGGCCCACCCGGTCCTGAAGGACCACCTGGAAAACCAGGGACTAACGGTGATATGGGCCTTCCCGGCTGGATGGTTAGTTTGTTTTCATAAACTATACATTTACGATAGTCTACGTGTAAAACTTTTGATGCTTTTCATTATTTAAAACTGAATCAATAACTCATTCCTACATACAGTTAAAGTTAATTTCACAGAATAATTACATGTACGTTGATTAAGTAATACCTATTCGCTGAATAGAATTTTGATATTGATATAGTTATAGTTTATTCACCTTGATGAACTTGATTTCTATGAAGAACGATTTTTTATATTTAGAAGAATCAATGTAAATTATGAAAATTATCAAAAGTCATCGACCAGAGTTATTTAAATATAAATTTTATTGTTTTGTAAATCATGATAATTTTTTATTTCATGCTAACTACAGAACAACTTGAAGGTAAGATTATCGATAAAAAACGGATTGTGTTTTATGAACGTATTACTGTGTACACTCTTGTAAATGTACTGCTAGTTATTTATTATTTGAGCTTCCAAGGATTTAATCTGTCATCTATGGCATATGATGTCAATTGCAAAAAAATATATACGCTGCGTAGTACAATGCTGAGTTTGTGACTAAAATCGAAACTATATTTATCTATTAATATTTTTCCATAAAATACTGCAGGGTCGAACCGGTAATCCAGGAATACCTGGAAATCCCGGACTAAAAGGAGAAAAAGGAGAACCAGGAGGTTCGAATTCTTATGGATCTACGTACGCCGTACGTAATTCAGTCTTTTTCTAATACAGAGAAATTATATGAATGTGATTGGATAAAGTGGTTTGATTTATTGTTAATTGGATATTACAATTTGAATTATATATTAGACAAAAGGAGATAAAGGAGAAAAAGGCGAAGAAGGACCTCCGGGACTGCCAGGTATAGCTGGTCGCGATGGTCATCGAGGATCTCCCGGCCCGGCAGGACCACCTGGTCCACCTATTCAAGGAACGTACATCCCAGTTCCTGGGCCACCTGGTCCACCAGGACCACCAGGACCTCCGGGTTCCGGAACGGGCAAGAGTCATATTTATGGAGAACGTGAATATTACGGCTCCAGACAGGGTTCGTATAATAATATCATAGACATAAATGATATATCTATAATGGTAACGGTAAAATTTTGATCTTAAAATATGAAATGACATTATCGAAAGGTATCTTTTTGCAATTGTTTGGTAAAACTTCTTTCCGCTAAGCAGGGCTTAGAAGCAGTCTAGATGAGCTGAAAGCTCTGCGCGAACTCAAAGAGCTAAAGGAGCTGCGAAAGGAGCATTTGGGTATGCCAGCCCCGACTTCATGCACTTTCGAAATTCAATTTGTTTCTTTTTTTCCATTTTACATGCACGGATGAGAAAGCTTTGTATTAAATTCAACTTGGGAGACTATGTGTGCACGTTCAGTATTTAAGTTTCAGCAAAAAATTTCATATTTCAGTTCCACTCGATAAATTTGTTTTGAATGGCATATTGTATTGGTTATTCGATTAATAGTATATTAGTGCATGCATAAAATTTTAGGCTCCAATGCTGCAGCTACGAGGAGGCCCGTTGAGACTGTTACAAAAATAGTTCCAGGAGCAGTAACGTTTCAAAATACCGATGCAATGACAAAGGTACGAATAGAATTATTTAACGGCAGTTGAATAATAATACTCCATAAATTAACGTATATTTAAATCTATTAATTTTATATAGATGTCTGGCGTAAGTCCTGTAGGAACACTCGCATATATTATCGATGAACAGGCACTGTTAGTTAGAGTCAATAATGGTTGGCAGTACATCCCGGTAAGCTCTTCACTATGAAATTCGATTATGAACAATTCATTATTTATATTTTCGATAAAATAGATGAAATTAACTACATGACAGTCCGCAGATTTTAATACTTTCATGTAATTTTAATATTGAAATGTATCTTAAAAATATATTTTTGTAACGCTCAACTTCATTGTATGAAGTCATGCTACTTATATAGAGCTTGTAGTTTTATCGCCAGTATTTGTTTTTAACCATTGCAGTTAGGATCACTACTGCCAATTATGACGCCTACTCCACCGTCAACAGCATCCCCATCAGTCAATCCATTATTTGAAGCTTCTAATTTGATAAATCAGGTCCCGATCAAAGCTCCGAATGCAAACGTAAGAAATATTATTTTCATTTCAATGGTATATTATATTTTAAACGATTGTTTTGAAAATAGAAAATATTTCGGAATCATAAGATAGAATGGCAATATTCATTTTTATCAATTTCAAAATATTCTAGTGCAAATAATGTTTTATTATAATAAAAGCTAATACTTTCGAATCTCTCTTCAAATTGAAAAATACATTATCAACTTTTGATAAACTATGCACTGTACATATGTATGATATAATATATTTTACAATATGTATGGTCTCTTGTATGTTTTGATTAATTTGTTAGATATTATACATGACTAACGTGTTTTGTTTTTTAATGCTTGCCAGCGACATCCTAACTTGGTACAGTATATTTATACAAATAATTATATCTATGTGTTTTATAGTTATCTTTTGATCATATTTTATAGCTTTGAATGTGATTACATCCTGATCATAACAATATGTACTAATTTATGTTAGTACTTATAAAAAAACGAAGTTGAATTAGAACAAAATATTTCAATGTAGATTTGAAATCTCGATCGAGAGTCACATTTATTTAATAAATTAATTATTTTTACCTTTTATTTTTTTTATGGAACAAATAATTTTATGGAATAGTGTCAATACAAATTTATTAGTCAATGTAATATATTCATTTGCGAATATTCTGATTTTTATACTTACGTAATAACCAGTTACTTACTTATAGTTATATTAACAAATGTGAAATTCACAAGGAAACCCTCTCTAATCAATATTTTTTTAATATGTTGTAGGTCATAGAAAAATAAGTAACATATTTTTTTTTTATCAGTTAAAAACACTTTAAGGGGATAAAATCAGCTTTCAAAGTCCACCCTCATAAATAAATTTTGCAATTTATCTCAAGTTCTACTTGATATTTTACTATAAAATAAATTTTATTTTATTTATCATGTAAATGTAGCACTAGTGCATGCAATTATCCGACCATAAGGGATGCAACTCTTATTTTTTTTATTGACAATTCTACCATTTTTGTGACCATTTTTATGAGAAAAATGTTTAATAAGCCAAAAAAACACCCTTAAAATGAAAAAATCACTTCCAAAAAATCTTTTTCAATATTTTACAGGTTATAATTGATAATTTATTGTACATTGCATATTACTTACAAAAATAATAGAATTTTTAATAAAAAAATGAGGGTTCGGGTTGCATTCCACATGGTCGAAACTGTATGCACTAGTTTCCTATTTACATGAGAAGTAAGATGTAATATATTTCATTGTAAAATATCAATTAGAACTCGAGATAAATTGCAAAATTTATTTTTAAGGGTGGACTTTGAGGGCGAATTTCATCTCCTCAAAGTGTTTTCGCTGATAAAAAAAACACGTGTTACTTATTTTTCTATGATCTATAACATATCAAAAGAATATTGAAATCGGTGAGGTCGGGTTGGAAAGGTTTTCTTGTCAGTTAAATTATAAAATCTCATAAATAATCAAATATATCTTTTCGAATCCATAATAAAAAATAGCTGAGAATAATATACAAAAAGAGCTCGTATAAACGTAAAGCTCTAAAAATGCATACGAGCTTTTTGATGAGAGAGCTGACATTAAAATTCTTGAGGCAGTTACGCATGGCGGCGCTGAATGAGCCATACACCGGCGACATGCACGGGATACGAGGCGCTGATTACGCGTGCTATCGCCAAGCAAGACGAGCTGGATTGAGAGGCACTTTCCGTGCCTTTCTTAGTTCGCGCGTCCAGAACGTCGATAGCATCGTCCGACTAAGCGACCGCGATTTACCAATCGTCAATCTTAAGGTGAGTCAAACCCCGTAATTTTTTATACGATCATCATGAATATCTTCGATAGCACATAGCTTCCATATTTCCACTTACAATACCGCTGTTATTATTATTATATTGGCAATATGTCAATAAAAGAAATAAAAATTATACCGACAATATGGTGAGTAATGAAAATAATTTTATTTTCTATAATATTGCAAGCGTGATATTTGTTTTGCCAAATTTGTTTCTTGAGTATATGCAAACGAATATCCACAATACTGCGCAACAATTTCACTATATTTTATCGTCAATTGTATTACGAATAATATGGCAGCTTCCGATTAAATTGAAATAGTAATTTAAAGCAAGCAACCCGTGTAAATTTCGAAGCTTACTCGTAATTCGTCGACATTAATTGAACCGAAGAAATTATACTATTATATTATGTTATATTTTTCTTTTAGTCGAAATTACCATTGAATTTCAGATAGTTTAAATTGCAAAATTACCGGATTTAAACAGATTATCGTAGTCTGTGGCGAATTGGGCTTTGGATTATTGCCAAACGTTCGATCATGTATGCTATAACGAGTTTTTTCACCGGCGAATTCGTACAATACAATACTCTCATTTAAAAGGACACTAGGGAAACAGAAATATTAATGTCTGATTTTAGAATGATGTTCTTTTCAATTCATGGAAAGAAATGTTCAACGGTAACGGAGCCTACTTCTCGCAAAATCCGCGTATATATAGTTTCGATGGAAAAAACATCCTCAACGACTTAACATGGTATGGAATATTGAAGTTTTGTTTTGTATTGTGACGGTTATAATTGTAATGCTAAAATGAATTACAATGGGTATAACTGTGATGGCAGGCCGGAAAAGGTGGTTTGGCACGGCTCGCACAAACTAGGTGACCGAGCAATGGACACTTACTGCGACGCCTGGCACTCGGGCAGTTCGGACCGCTACGGACTTGGATCACCACTGACGGGCAGTCGACTACTCGAGCAAGTTCGCTACTCGTGCGACAATAAGTTCGCCCTGCTCTGCATCGAGGTCACAAGTGAGAAAAACGTAAGACGCAGGCGGCGATCAAGCGACGTTGACGACGACGATGACGATGAGAACGACAACCAGCTCGAACACGACGATAATAACGATGACATTGTCCTCAACGAAGCTGAATACTCCGAGTATTTGAGCCAGCTTATCCTTGAATGAATAGTTTATACCTACCTGAAACCCAAAACTTAGGTGTGATGTAAGTTAATGCGCGCGCGCTCGTGTGTATTGATTACTTTGTACATAACATTGAGAGAATGATACGTTTCTTGCAACGAAATCTGCAACCTTTCGCTATCATAGTTCGTCAATATACGTTAATTTTTCTCGCTGACGCGGATCATTAGTCGATTAAAATCTACTGTTAATGAAAATCAGTTGACTCACTGCCAAATTTTAAAATATTTTCATATGAAATTAATAAAAATTTTATTGAAAAATGATCAGTTGATCTATTGAAACATATAACAAAAAGTCAACGACAGCACGAACATAAATAATTATAAGTCTGAAAATACTTTGCTATGGCTTCATATTTTCAACGAATTCAGCAATAATATTTGCATTGATCATCGATTCTTTCTCGTAATATTTTGGAGCTATAAGCTTGTCAGAGTTTAAGTATGAATATTTGCAACACTTCGTACAGTCAGCCTTAAACAATTAGTTTTTAGATTTATATGTACTTTACTTTTCCATGAGAATGTTTTTTAGGATTTTTTTTAATTCGTGTTCTGTTTATCAATTGAATCTCATTTTTTGGTTATTGTCAGAGCAATTATATCAATTATTTTAAACTGTAAGTAAGCAGGATCATAAATATTTATGTCTAAAAATTAACTTAAATATTTTTGTGTTTTTCTCTGTTATTGTCTTTGAATTGCCATGTAACTAATACTGAATGAACATATGTTTTTAGATATTTTACTTAAAGAATGTAAGGCTGATGAAATTTTTGTAAAAAATAACAGTATTAATGTAATAGTAGATGTATTTGTATATCTCAAACAAATATTCGTATTTCCACATTTCTTATATTACAATGTTTGTGATGATCGATCATATCTCATTTTTATACTAATGCATTTTGCATTTAACTGAATATTTTTGTTTGTTTTACTCAACTACGAGATATGGATGTTTTTTTTGTATCCGATTGTAAATAAATAATGACGACTTGACGTGGGATGAAAATTTAAAGTAATATTGTGCCGATTGTGATTATTTAAATACATATCCATTTGACATCAACTGGTTTAATTTTCATTTATTTCCTGGCCTTCAATGTCTGTACTATATTTTCTTAATATTATAGTGCTTAATATTGAATTCAATTTGAATTCATTAGATTATTTAACAATCTTCTTTTAAAGCTATTTTCATAGGTCGCACTCAAGTGAGACAGCATCACTAAGGTTTCGGTTGGGTAACGATTGGCATAACAGCAGCTAGTCTGTTTGTTAACGAGCAATGATCCCCTCTCCATAATTTCAGCGCACAGAGCACGTTTCATTGTGCAAAGATCTGAATAGCTTCATTAGAACGATGCGGAAAAACTAACAAAAACTTGTTACAGGCTTGTAACTCGGAGCTAGTAGAACAATGATGATCAATATGTTTGATGTAAGTTTGGAGTTTAAATGAAACATTAATGCAGCACGACGTGATGTAACTCATTCACATTATTATGTATAAGACGTTATTTGCTAGGTGAAATACGTGCAATCTTTCACAAATGAAAAAGTCAGCTGCAGGGAACAGTTCGGTGTAAAGAAGTCAAGTACTTGTGATTCAGTGCAGTTGCTTCATTTATTGCATACTAAACTCAGCACATATTTGTGCATTGCATTTTATGGAACTTATTAAAAAGGAAAAAGAATCAATCTTGGAAATCGCTGATATGGTATTATTAAAGTAAACGGACATTTTAATAGATAAAAGCACAGCATTATATATACTTAAATCGATCGAATTTCGAAATCACAATACATGTACTTCGATTTTTATCATATTCGTTCGTTTGTTCTTAATGTCTAACAGCTATTGCTGCGAGAGCCTCCTGCATACTCATGTATGCAGCGTCGTTTCTCCGCGTAATAGCTGTCTTGAAGTTAGGGCGCTGAAGCATATGTTACGCAAGCAACTGCTGTGACTGCACACGTGCAACTAAATACACTGGTCTGCGACCCTTTTTACAAAAATTTATTATCGAAGCTTTATCAAACAAATGGCAACAGTTACTTTCTTAAATTCGATTTAGTTCACTTGATATGTAGAATTTTATTTTGGTTCTCTTTGGCGTACGTTACGTCAAAATCATTAAAAACAGACTTTATTCTGGTTTGTGCAAAAGTACAAATAACTTTCCACTGTCGGTTCGTATTTCATTTTTTTTATTACTTTTATTTTGACGCGCATTCCATAAGTTTATTTGCGCGTGATCACAGCATCGTACTTGATACTATGTGTGTGCATCTGCCTGCTGCACGTGCTTTTACAGCCAGGCTGCAATATCGTTTGTTGAAAAATCTCGCGATCGATCATGCACATAATTTCTAACAAAGGTAATTTATTTTAATATTCATATTTCGATATCCACTTTTACCCATTGAAATTGATTGGCGGTGGCAATCTTTCCGCAAGTTTTCGGAAAAATCCATGAAGCTGTACGAATTTCATTCAATTTACAATTATAATATTAAACGAGAAGAAATGTGATTGTGTTAGAGATAGAAGTTGCAAAAAGTATGCAATATTCAAGAGGTTCGATTTAGCAAGAGGTGTCGGTAGGATTTATTCGACGGTCGGGAGTAAGAGGTGTGCACGCTAAATGCATTGTTCCGTCGGGTCGTATACATTCAGCTGTAATGCTTAGAGTGCCGTGCCGCGCGCTGATTCGATTTGCAATGTCTCATCCGGGTGAAGCGCTTCTAATCAAAGAAGGCAGTAGCAATCTGTCCTCTGATTTTCAGTGGGACGTCTAGGGCTCGTTATTTGCATTATATTATGCCACAGCGCGTTAGACCGCAATAACGGAAATGTCTGACTTGAAAACGTGGACAAATAAAAGCGAGAAAGAAACACAGAGTGAAAATTGCAGTCGATGCGCTGTTAAAAGCGCAATAAAAAAATTTGCAGTTCGAACACGCTTCGAGGCACACATGCAGACTGTTAGCGATTTATTAGCAAGTGTCGTTAGTCATTTATGCCAACGGGCGGAAAGAGAGCACTCGGCCAAAGGGGATGCACATATCCGTAACTAGTAACGAGTTTATTAAATATTCCACTGGAGCGAGGAGAGTGAGAGAGTATGAGAGAAAGAGAGAGAGAGAGAGAGAACGCGAGAGGCCAGTGTCGAATATGTATGAGGGTGCGAGAGGCTACGTGCACGTGCACAGAAAGCTCCTCGCCACTCAATCTCCCTATTCTATCTCCCTTTCGCCAACTCGTTAATGAATTTCTCAATGCATTCGGGTTTATGAAAAATGTCAAATATCCAGCTTAAACCGTTTAGCCGGCTTCATTGCCTTCTACCTTCCCTCAAAAGTCATTATCTAACTTGAATTACGACGCAAATCCAAATAAGCGTGCTCTGCGAAAATAGAGATAAGGGTAGGCGGCACATCGCAAGGTATTAAGCTAAGGCTATTCTGTACCGAAGACCGAAAATCTGTGAAAAAAAAATATACATCGTCGTCCTGATCGGTCGCCACGAATTTTCGGAGAAGAGAGAATGCTAACTATTTGGTAACTTTTAATATTAAATTTTAGCTACAGTGTCCCATCGAGGAAATAATATTTCACAAATTATATATTATACCAGGAAAAGCCCGCAACATTTTGATGCTAATGAATTAGAGTTTATTTGCAAGCTGATTGCAGTTCAAAAATATTTCGATTCGCGCTAACATTTGCTACAGTTATTTTTTTTTTGCGCGGCCTTTCGGCACTTCACAGTCAGGTCGACAGCACGTACAGCGCAACGCCATCCATTTCGACGAATTTCCGCGTTTTCCAACCCTCAAATTATCCATTTTCAATTTAATGTTTCGTTTTAACTTTCATTCGTGGATCCTTTATTGAATTCACTGCAACTCTGTCAATTGTAAAGTTCTACTCTAGAAAATTGATCTAACTTCAACGCTCACATACTGGCTAATATCATTTGCTAAGATTACGTGATGGAGGTAAAAAATGTCTTGTTTAGTTGGAAGAATATTAAATTTCGATCAGTTAGTAAAAGTAAAGATTATAGCGAGGTCGTTCAAGGTATATTAATAATAATATTTTTATTGGTATAGACTTTTTACATTATGGAACTACTTTACAATGATTTACGGTATGCACATGTATCACGTAGGTGCTGTCCTCTATTTAATATCTCATGAACTCGACACGTTCGGATTGCAAGTATTGTCATGTAACTCTTACATAATTAACATATTATTTAAGTCTGTTTCAATAATCTACCAAAAAAGGCTAATTCTAATTGACAATTAAATTATATATTACTTAATTTTATGAAAAAAAATTAATCAAAAATTTGTCAGCAATCTGTACAGCTTGATAGTAACAGAAATCAGTTTATCTAAAAGGACAAATTTTTATAAAAAGATAAGCCAATTGATAACAACGCTCTCTGTCAAGCTCGTTTTCCATATATGTTGAATTGTATTGTTAAAAATAAAGTAAAGGGACTCAAAAACAAGGCAAGTCCCTGAAAAAAAAAGTTATGAAGAAAGTTTTAGCTGCATGCGTAAGTGGATCTTTGAAGCAGCCAAGTGGGAACAGCTGCGAAAGGCGGAAATGCTACAAGTGACTCTTGACATCAAACAGCTCACTATTACTCTTCGCTATTTTCGCTTTAAGGAGTCACAAGTATACGTAAGGCTTCAGCTGATCCGTTTGTCCATTCCTCAATATTACGCCGGAATAATTATTCGAGTCTTATTATGCTGATGACACATAATTGAATAAATTTTATAATTTTTTACGATTGGTTTTGGTGATTTTCTTCATTTTTCTATCTATACTATTCCAATCAATCAAGTCGTCTTTTTAAATTTTTCATCCGTGAATTACTTTTAAATTTCTGAAGATAATTTAATATATTATTCTCTTCATTGACAAATTCAAAAAAAATTAAAAACTAATATTATATTTTAGTAGAATTATAATAGTGGAGTACTACTGGCTACATTTTCAATAAATAAGAGCTCTTCAGACAATAAAAAATTTACTGAAAATCACGTTGTAAATATAGTTAATGTTATTTGTCACGTCACCCATTCATCTATTTCGAGCTTGACCAATGAGTATGTATTTAAGTAAGTTCTTTTAATTATCCACAGACTCACAGATCTGAAATTATTCATCAATTCGTTCAATAATATTTTATATCATTTAATGTTAGTGAAAAAATAACTACTAAAATAGCTTTCTTTTGGCTAAAAAAATTCGATACTTAAGCTAATGACATTGAGACGTACAATAATTTTTTAATTTCGGTTTGAATGGAAATGTAGCAATGAAATAGACTGACCAAAATATATTCCTAAAGGGAATATAATAGTTGAGTCCTTAATTCTTTTATCTGAATATAAGTACTTATATTTTATTTATAATACCATAAAAATAAAGTAACTGTAGATTTATTTCCACCATTCGTATTCAATTAAAAAACAAGAATGATTTTAATGATAACAATTCTTTGACTGTTCTATTCTCTTACAGTCATCAATTAGTCAATGTTTATGTAATTTGATTGTGAAGAATTTTTCTGACATCGTCTTGACTTGTACTACTAAGTATTAGACGTACGTCTAAAAGCAGTAAGAAAGAAAAAAGATTTGACTTTGATTCTAAAAATTGTTATTTGGAATATTTGCTGTAACAAAACGAACGTTAAAATAGTTTAATATCAATTTTTTTCTATTGTTTCTTTTATTCTTAACAGAATTTCGGATGTTTTCTTTGAAATAAACTGGAACTATTTTAAACCAATCAATAATATCCCATCATTATTTATTACATGGTAGCAAGTAAAAAAACTGAGATTTTTAAGGATATGAAAATGTATCAAAGTTTATTCAGTTATTAATGGTCATTTCAATTTTTTTACACGTTAATGCCTATGTTACGTTTACACGTAAGAAATAATCTAAGATTTGTTAGTGTTGAGAATTTCTACAGCTTCAATTAAATTTAAACCCTCTAAAATCGATTTCAAATTTTCTAATGATGCATCGGGATCTTCTTCAGTCCAAATCACCAACATTTCTCGGCACTGTTCCAAAGACGTTTGTTTCTTACCAAAAAAATTAATCTGAATAAAACACATGTTATACAGTACACATTTATAAGGATTTTTTAATCTAGATTATCAAATTTCAAACTCACTTCGTCATTTCTGTATCCTAATTTGGTAGCGAGCTTTTGCCAATCATTTTTTAAAACTTCAGCTAACTTGTCAACTAATTCATGACTTATTCTATTAGCTATCTTAGATTTAGCTTCTGTTGTATCAGCATCTTGTTTAAGTGTTTCTTCGTTAAAATCTTGTTCTATTCGTTCAGATGGTGGTGTATCTCCAGTCTCTTGTTTAGAATCAACTTGAGTTTGCTAAGATTTAATATCATTTAAAAACATTTTTAGCAAAAAGATAGCGATCATTATATAATAATGAAACACTAAACATAAAACGTAAAAGAAACACTATACAATTAATGAAAATACTAAATGTAAAATAATACAGTGCTAGAAAAGTTGCATGTAGTACACTTACTGGTCTATCTTTGGCAATTTTCTTGATCATTATCTCAAGATACTCTGGCAATCTTGTAATAGGATAGTTCCCATGAACAAAAAAGTGTGGGCTTCTTTTTGCTAATAATCGAAGTGCTCTCCAACCAAAGTTTCCATCATTAACTTTTCTATAAAAATAGCATAGATCATAGATTTATCATATCTATTTGATAAGAAACTAAATTGTCAGATTTTAAAAGTAGAATTCGGAAACTAACTTATATTCATCTTCTATTCCAGCAGCTGGATCTAATTGATCTATAGCTTCTTCAAAGTAGGTTTCTAATGATGGTAAGAAATCCCTATCTTTGGACTTACAAGCTTCAAGATTATTTGGACATAAGTTCCAAAGTTTTGTCAATTCTGGGCTGAAAAATGTTTGAAAATATTTTAATTATATCTGAAACTATTATTGATTGATATCGAAGTTATTAATTGACAATCTCTTACTTTCCCATGTAATACTTTCCCATAGCTTGAGCATCGCGAATCATGTCTCCAATTCGTCGTTTTTGTCTTTTTGGTTTTCGTGTTTCGTCTGCTTCTGTGCTAGGTTCAGGAGCTGGCCTTTTAAAAGCTGGACAACCATCATTTTTCCAAATGTTCCAAAATTCTTCTCGTTTTAAAATGTGTTTGACTGATTCAGCAAAAGCAGCCCCGTCAGGAGGAGTTTCAGCAAGTAATGTATATACTTGTGCTGTTATTGTATTGACCCATTCTATCTGGTCAGATTTCAATTCATGTACATCTCTAATAAATAAACAAAATATGAACTAATATTGTTGTATAATGTTTTAATGTCGTTTTTGTATATTGTTATTTTTACGGCACTTACGATTTGAACTTCACAGTACTATTTAAATATTGAAACAGAATTAAAAATTGCAATAAAACATATCTACGGAAATTAGAATCAGACAATTGCAATTCTAATAGTTTTTCATTAGTTAAATATTTTGCAAAGTAATGTGTTTCTTTGAATGTTCCTTCCAATAGAGCTTCAAATTTAGAATGATCTATCAAACAATCTTTCTGGTCTTCTAGTTTGAAAGAAGCAAATGCTGATAAAACATTAGAAGCATGCTGAAGATATTAATGAGTTTATAATTAAATTATTTAGATTATATGAAAATTAGTTTTTAATTTGCTGCATATAAAAATACTCACAGATGAAAAAACTTTCCATTGTACTTTGATGTAACACTGATTAGGATTTCGAAAGAAATCTTGTAGAGCCCAAAATTTTCTATATAAATTGTAGTCAATTGAAATTTTCGTATCAGTTTTCTCTCCATCAACTTCCATTTGCTGTATTACATCTTCTTCTGATTTTTCAGATCCAAATTCAGTTACATTTTCCAAATTGAACTCACTCACAATATTGAGTCCAGATCTCTCAGAGAATGGAAAGAATTTAGCAAGGAAAAGAAGAATCCTTCCACAAAACACAGTTTGTTGAGACCTAGAGAGACGTCTTAGAAGATCATTGCACATTCTGAGTAAATTGTTTTTACAGGCCCCAAAAAATAGATCTTCTTTCCAATTAGTCACATTATTTTCAACATATGTAAATAGCTCTTCGCAACGATCTAGAGTCATTCCATCAAATATATCACTTAATAGTGTAACAGGTATATTTGTACTTGCCAAATCTTTGCGGCAAAGCTCAATACAAAATGAAATGTAAGATTCCTGTATTTTTGTGTTATTAGTTGCATTACTAGATAAAAGATTAATGAGTGCATCTCGCAAAGCTAAATCTATCGCAAATTTTCTGTCTTTATCATTAGAACATTGTTCAACACATTTTTTTTGGAATGTCGTTACATCTGAGTTCTTGAAACATTGTTGTACATATTTCTGAAAATTGAATTTCATAGCATTTATTTTAGATTTGAGATACTGTATTTTTATTTTAATGTAAAATGTTATGACACATATTCAAACAATATAACCTAAAATATTCTTAATTAAAACATTACTCACACAGTAGTCTTTCCTTAGTGTTTCAAACGAAGTCATGGTAACTATTTCTTCGTTAGTAAATTAATTTACTAATATTGTTACAACATTAAGTAAATATTTAAATATGAAAGAATTTCTAAGTGGCTTATTGACGTTTATTCCAGACAATGCGCGTCACTGCCTGCTCAGGAGTCAGGATTATATGCAAACTTATGCGATCAACATCAGCTCCATCTGATCTCTGTTGGTATTTACTAACAGTCGAATAAATAGGTAACTTGCTTATCTCTTAAATAATCTATAGCGTATATAGATATATACTGACACTATATGTTGCATACAGAAGTTTATCAGTGTGAGCTGGTGTGAGTCAGGTGTCAGTGGAGGGAGTATATAGTGTTTCTTAGTAGCAGTTGTGTTTTGTATGTCAATTGATTGTTGCTGCAGCCGGCTTTTTTATGCGGTGAAGATTTACATGAACATATATTAATGTAAGAAACAATTTTTTCATAACATACGTTCAACATTCTTAAAATATATACATTTTGATATGACGGAATTATTTAATCTCATTAACTGTTGAACGTAGCAGTCAACTGTATTTTTTCACTTCTAACCTTCATTTATTTTTCAAACAAAGAATTCTTTTGTGAAAATTCTGTATATACATTCAATATACTATAATAATTTCTGTATTTATTCAATTAATTTTTAATTCATAATTTCACTGAAGTATTTAATTAATACAACTTTTACTCAATATTTAAAATTATTAATAAATAAAACAGCAGCTAATTCAAATTTGCTGATTTGTAAGTCCATTTAATTTATGATATATATTTTTAGATGGTTTTTCCTCACTGGATACATTCAACAACAAAATATATTTTGATTGGAGTAGGACTTCTGTGTGCTTCTGAATGTACTTGGTGCTTATATAAAAAATTCTTTCAAAGAAAGATACAATGCAGAGGTGGTGCCAGTAAATCCATAGCAGAAGTGTTATTTTTTTCAGAAGAGTGTGAAAGGTGTCGAAATCATGCAAATACTAATAAGCCATGTAGTTTAGCTTCTTGCCCGTTAAGAAATCTCAAGTAAGATTATTATAAAATGTTATCACTGGTTTGCAAACATACTTAGATTTATTTAATTTTCAGTAAAGTAATTGAATATCTTGGAACAGCAACAACGAGTGTAGATGTCTGTGTTTATTTCTTAACCTGTAATGTAATAATCAAAGCTATTATTGATTTACGAAGAAGGAACATACTTGTAAGAGTCATTACAGATGATGAATCTACTGGAAATGATATAAGTCAAGTTTTGATCATGCGGAAAGCAGGTGTGTTTATTTTCAAGATACTTATTCTAATTGTATAATTGGCTTATGTAAATTGGTTTACATCTGCTATAATGCAAAGCTGACTTAAATTATTGAAAACTTATGAAATTCTCTAGGTATTAAAGTAAGATGCAGAAGATCAGAATCGTTCTACCTCATGCACCATAAGTTTGTAATCGTAGATAAAAAGCTTTTGATCAGTGGAAGTGCTAATTGGACAATGCAGGCTTTTTATGGGAATTCTGAAAATATTCTTATAACTAATCATAATGATATTGTTGTACAATACATGAAAGAATTTGAAAATCTATGGCTAGAATTTAGTGGTGAAGTGGATGCTAACTCTTCAAGTAATATTGAAGTTAATTTATCTTCAATGTCTCAAAAAGAAAAACAGTGCACAGATGGTACAAGTGAACCCATAGCAGAAGTTTTGTTCTTTTCAAAAAAGTGTGCCAGCTGTCGAAATCATGCAAATTCTAACATACCATGCAGTTTAGCGTCTTGTCCATTAACAAATCTCAAGTAAGATAATTATAAAATTTAATCAGTAACTTGCAAATCTTGTTTGATTAATTTATTTTTAGTAAAGTAATCGGGTATATCGAGACTGCAACAAAGACTGTAGATGTCTGTGTTTATATGTTAACCTGTAATGCTATAGTTAAAGCAATCATTGATTTGCAAAGGAAGAATGTATTTATTAGAGTTATTTCAGACAATGATTCCTGTGGTAATGATGCAAGTCAAGCTTTGAACATGCAAAAATCAGGTGTGTTTAGTTTAGTCATATTCTTTTAATACTAAAATTGTTATAAAATTAGTGTAAATCGTTAAAAATACTTTTGTAAAACTTTTTAGGTATTAAAGTCAGATGTAGGAAGTCGACCTGTCTTATGCATCATAAGTTTGTTATAGTAGATAAAAAACTTTTGATTAGTGGAAGTGCCAATTGGACAATGCAGGCTTTTTATGGGAATTATGAAAATATTCTCTTAACTAATCACAGTGACATTGTTGTACAATATTTGGCAGAATTTGACAAGCTTTGGGTAAAACTTGGTGATGAAGTCAATATTAATTTTCCAAATAATATTACAAGAAGACCATTTCAAAATGGTAACTAACAAAATGAAACAGGATATTTCTCTTTTTACTTTTGAATGATTATAGTGAGACAAGTTATAGTTCTATCATCAATATTTCTAATTAGTTTAATTAATTCATGTAATCTCTTTTTTCTATTTATACAGATGTATCTTTTTAATGAGAGACTATATTTAATACTTTAGTCTCTAACTATGAACAGTTCATTAGAGTATTGTAATAGTTACTTAATAAGCTTACAGAATAACATTAAGAATTTTAAATACAAAGTACAAATTGGTGAAGTTTTAAAAAGTTTTAGATGTTGAATATTTTTATATTAAAAAATATGATATAAGTCTTAATATATTATAAATAATGAAAATACAAGGCGATATATCCAGTAGTGAAAGATGTTTGCTAAACGTGTGATATTTAATATCTGGTCTCAAATTAGGGAAACATTTCCAATATGTACGTAATTCAACATTATTTACTTTTTCAATTGCATTATTTGATAAGTAAATATAAAGGTAATATCAATTTGTATATTTGTATGGTGAATTGATATCAGTATCTACATCGAACGTTAATGGGTTAAAAAATTAGAATAGTTCGAAAAAATAAAAAATAAAAAACGTATTTTTTCGCATGCAGTCATAAAAGTGAATGAAGACTTTTTAATCTTTTCTAAAACGTTTTATTAACTCAGTTATTTTACCGACACCGTTATTCTAATTCTTTTTTTTTTGTTAAAATACTGCGATGAATATTGTAAAATGGATGCTAATGCATTTTTAAATACTTTTTCTATACCGATATTGTTTACATTTTATAATAGTTTTCTTGATCATAATACCTATTAGTTTTATTTATTTTGAAAATTAACAAACGATTCAGTATGATCATTTAGGTTAAGAATGTAAATTTTTGTTATGAAAATTATAAAATATACGAAATAATTTTAATTTTGATTAGAAGAATTGATATTTTATATTTCTCATGTAATACGTTATTTAATAAAAACAATGAAAGGGATTTTATGCACTTTCAAGAAGCCTTTATTTATTAAAACTTCCGTCATAATACTTCATAAGACTTTGTTATTTACTAGCTAAGTAACATTTCTTAAATTTTTTTTTCTTGTTATATTAGTGTAATTTTTCAGAAGTATAAACTCAATTTGTTCGTGAAAATGAGAAAATGTTTGGGAAAAAAGTTTAATTTCTTGCACGACTTAATCTGAGCTTTTAAAAATATCGTTAATAATAAAGCTATTTTTTGCCCACGTTAACAAATCAAAATGACAGGGATATGTCCTTTTTAAAAATTGTGTTTTGACGCATAATTTTTTCTTCGGTATCTTGTGTAGAATTTCACTTGAATAATATGTTTTAGCAATTATTTATTACATGTAAACAAAAATTCGTATACAAAACGTAAAGAAATTGTAGAGCTTAGGTGAATTACAAATATCTTTTTATTACGTGATGGACTCATCGGTGACGCACAGTGGTTCTTGTCCCATTATGAGGAAATTTGCGTCATTAACGACTAAAAGGCTTACTCAATCGTGCTGACATCGAAATGTAGTATGAACGGACACTAATTACAGGTTTTACTGTAAAGCGACGTATATATTCAATATCATAATACAATAGCCCTTACGCATGAGTCTTATACTGTTCAAGAATTTTACGTAATCTCGTCTATTGACTTAGTGCTGGATTTTTTATTCTTGAAAAAAAAAATCTGCGAAAGAAGTGTTTTGAATATGATGAGTATGTAATAGAAAGTATTTGAGCGAAACAATTTTTGATACAATACTAGCGTGAAATATGGTTGTACGCACGAGTAGTGATCGAATCGGACGGGTGAGCTGTTGACAAAACGATCTTCACTCTACTAAAGTAACAAGTCTTTTATCTTTCTTACTGTAGCTTTCTAATCCAATTTTTTTGTAAAGTACCTAAACTATTTTATAGTCAACGATACTAAAAATAATAATATTCGAATGTTGGATGACGTAGAAAAGCTTACAATTTAAATTTAAATAATCTTGTGATTAATATGATTCAATTAATTGTTTTATTTTAATTCATTAAATAAGAGGGAGTCATCCTTCGTATGCCGCAAGAGTTAATGGCACATTGATTAAGAAAGATTCGTCGAATGTCAGCGCACATTACGTAAATTTATATCAAATAAAGACATACAAGTAGCTTTTGACAAATATCATTTGTAAACAAATAAGTCAAATAAAATATAAATTTATAGCGTACTAAACAAAATTTTTGTTTTCAAACGATAACAGTACCATAGCATAAGTTGTGAGCTTACGAATACACTGTAAATTAACTGAGAGTTAAAATTTCAATCTGAAAATGTGTGCAAAAGTCAATGTGTACAGTGCTTTAGAAATGAAAGTGGGAAAGGAGGACTGGGATTTATCATTGACACACTTAACGTGGCAACGAACGTGAGCTCGTGACATAGGGATATACTGAATTGGGTGAAAATATATAAAAGTCTAGGCAGGGTATGACGCATCGCTTCGCCTTGAAAATTCGAGGCGAGCGGCGCGATGGTTGTACGCGCGCGTACGCATAGTTTTCCTGAGGGATATCGGCCTACACCACAATCAACCGCATGTGTGTGACGTCAGCCGTCGTCGTCGACGACGAAGCAGCGCTTTTTGTAGCGCAGCCCTATAACGCATCTACGTGAGCATTTTCATGAACCGTCACCTTTTTTATTTTCTTATTTTTGTTTTTCTTGATCAAGACTTCATGGTCAAGACTTTTCTAGATCCGTTATGAGTCTACCCTGCTAGATTTCAATGAAATCTTGATTTTCCGATTCTTCTGAGCAGTTGCTTAGTGATCTACTTGTGGATGTTTCTATATCCACGAAACTTTATGCATTTGACAATGTCAGATTACTGAGTGAAACTAACTTGCATTAAATTTTAATACTAAAATTATTATTTGTAATTTTTTGTTTCCAATAGAGATTAACTATCTGAGATTCAAGTATCTAATTGAACCGGCATATTTCTTCTGAAAAATGTTCGAAAAGTCTAGAAAAAACATGTGTATACATAACATTGGTAAACTTGTAAATTGTTATGAAAGTTTGACATTCTACAAAAAGTACATGGCCATTACTCGCACACGCTTGTTCGTCAAGAGCTTTCTATTTAATTATCTCTCGTGTTCAGCGATGGTCGTCAGTGCGTGCACAAATCCTCCATAATTCAGTTATATTTTTACAACGAATTTTCAAAGTTTCCTGATAATTCTATTACCGATTTCAATCTATTTTTGCTATGAACAACCGACCACTTTAGCGGTTCGAATTTAAAAATATCTTGTAAATTTTAGAAAAATTGAGTGGCGGTCTAGGAGATTCGGAAATGAATGAAACTGACCTTGCGACGGTAAAAGGCCTCTTTCGCGTGAAAACCAAAGAAAAGAGTGAAAGAGGCAGCTAAAACAAAAGTGGAGCTCTGCAAAAAGTACGCTCAAGTAGGCGCGCGCTTGACAGCCCGCGGAACTGTTATAGGCGTTTGCAGGTAGTAGCGTTAATCGTGATATATTCTTTATTTTTGGCACGCTCTTATTTTCGGTTAGTCTGTCGTTTCGCGAGAACCTCTGCACTAATTCCAAGTCGGCTGCTGAATACGCGGAAAGTTCCACTCATTTACAAAATAAGAATTACAAGACCAAAGTGGATGTGCGTACGAGAGATAATATATATACGCTTATATGTTGGCTGCTACGAATATACGATTCTTTTTTTCTGCGACTAAAATATTGTCAATGGAACACACTATCTGTGTAGTAATATTCGTACATCTCCGATTCGTATTTCGTCCTTTCGTCGACCATTATCGATCGTCCTTTTTTTAGCCAGTCGTAGCCGTTCTATTTTTAGACAAAACCGCCTCAATTCTCTGGGAAAAGCTCCAAATGTGTTGAAGCCGGGCTCGTCCTTTGCTAAGTTTTTCTTTACTCAGACCTCGTCTGATTTTTTATTATATATTAGGGTTCGAGTGTAATATATCACGCGACAAACATTTTTCTTCGCGCCACAACATTGGAAATTATACTTAATGCTTGATTTCTGGATTTTATTTTGCCCGAGCTTTTTGAAATATACGAGAACGCCATATAAATAAATCTACATATAATCAGCAATAAATTTGAGTCTATCGGTTGTATATGTTCGACTGTATACTTCTATGATTATTTGAAAGTTGTGGCTTATAATTCATTTGGATTACCTGAAACCAAAAAAACGATTAGGTAAGTAAAAAAATGTTTTTTAGGACAATCATAATTGCAAACAAATGTTTAATAGATACAACTACAGTGAATAATTAACAATTATTATTAAAGTACTACCGCGAATTTGCGTTTATACATGGCACGATACAAAATATTATTTATCGAAGATTTTATTGAATTTTGAGCAATAATATTTACCATATAATGTACCAAAAACGCATTATCAAACCGATGCATTGTTTTTATTGGAAACAGACGAAAATACTTTCTCCACGTCACTAAACATACTCACTAACTACTTAGTCATCAGTGTTTTTTATTTTCTTAAGACTTAAATACGAGTAGTCTGGAAAGAAGGGAAATTAAACCGAGACAGATTGTCTACGTCTTCGGAGGAGGAACCCAGTGGAATAAATATTGAGCTTACAGTCTTATCGCTACATTCTTTTTATAACGTCTCATCGCGAGAGCGGTTTTGGCATCATCGCTTGTTTCCAGCTTGAATCTGATTCTTCAATCGTGCCAAATGGGCGAAATCGAAATTAACACTTTTTGAAAAATTTAGATACGTCCGTAAGAGAGTCGAATTACAAAATATACGCAATAATAATCAAGAATAATCATATTCCTGACAAGAATAATCGAATCCAATGATTCAATTGGGAGTTCTCGCGGCGCGGTACACTTAGGTAAACTTGAGGCGTAGTTTGATGTTTTCGTGGGCAAACAATAAAATATATTTAAAAAAAAAAAACAATACACTAAAGAGAACGCGGCTGAAAATAATCATTGGCACGTTCGAGCGTTTCTCGAAGGAGTGTAAAAATTCGTGGTTATTGGACTAAAAATAAAGACTGGAAAAAAATACGTCTCGAGACTCGCGAATACGAACGCGTATAAATTTTGGTGTCATCTTCATTGCGCACGTAGCATACTAGCAGAGGCGCAGTTGGGAGCCCATAAAACCGTTGAAAAGCCGTAATAAGCGAGCGATATGTGAACGGCCTTTAACTTTTCGGTCGCCTTGCCTCGTTGCGCGCCTGACATAATATACACATCGGGGGCGGACGCGCGTTTGACGTCAGAGCGAAAACACGAGAGGCAGAGCACACTTGATTCGCTGGCCAAGCGCAATTAACAGGTCGCCGCAGTTTGACACCCCGAGTTGTATATTGTCGTCGCTCTCTATATGTCCCGTGCAATATTTCAACTCGTCAACTATATAGAACGTTGTCCGTATATGAGGCTGGCTATAAATAGCTAGACTCACCACGGAAATAGTCTATTCGCGGAGGGCGTTGGACCGTGCAAGATCGATCGCAACGTGACTCGCTCCCCCGAGGCGCCTGGATGCTCCTTACGATTAACGGAATTTTACAGGCTCGGCCGACAAACGAACAACCGATCGTCGCGCTCGGCCCTTCGCAAACAGTTTTCACGGCAGAGACACGTATCCAGCCGATGGTGCGTTCACTTTTAGCACAGTTCCGTAACACTTGTTTGTCACGCTGACACCGGTATACATATCGAGGGTGCGACTTTGACAGATATTTTTAAACAAGCTTTCAAGTTTATGCATTTATTGCCGAAATGTAGTTATAAATTGTATAATTACTCGTTCCACAATCAAATCAAATATCCATTTCTCGTTTCACGTCCCCTTCGATCAAACATTGCTTCTACTTCCGTCTAATTGACATTGATTTTGTTACGTTGGAATCGCAAAATTCGTTGCATGCTCGCGGTCTATGTAGGTGAGCTAAATTTTCGCGTTCATAAAATAATTGTAACTCGTGGAATTACGATGTTTGAAAAATCACGACTTGGCATTATTCGAAATACTTTGGCTTTATTTATATTCAAAAACTAGATGACCTACTTTTGAAAACTCCATTAATATATGTAGGAAGTGGAAGTCGACTATTAAAAAGTTTGATGAATTTCGAGGAATCACAGATACGGCGAAAAGAATATTTTTGAAATAGCTCAATAACCTATATAATGTCAAACTCCCACGTACACGTTCGCAGCCGAATTGCGATGTAAGATCGCGACTTGTTTAACTTGGCTTGAGTTTGCTGCGAAAGATGAAAAAAAAATTCAAAAATACGTTAGTCGACATTAGAAAAGCCCCGAGGAGATTTTCAACTTTTTGATGTATCGTGAGGATGTGCGAAGGGAGCCAATCGGCGCGACACTACTTGGGCGACACGCGCGATTCTCGCTAACAATATCGCGGCCCCTCCCGAAATAACTGACCGCCGACTGAAAATACGAAGAACGTATGCACGCGCACAATTATAACGTATTTGGCAACTGATATGAGGCTGTAGTCGACATGCAAAATGGAGAAAGAGACAGAAGGTCTAATCTCGGAGGTCGTTGCTTTGTCTTGTTTACGACCTGTATTCCACACTGGCGACATGCTGGCTAAGCGTATTCAATTCGTATATTTATAAGTTGCAATCAATCTTATACTATGCCTGTCATTATTTTAAGCATTTTCATCTTTTATTAGTATACGCAAATGTACACTTATTTTTGCAGTGCGTTTATGTGAACTCTCTGTAACATTATCATGATAACAAGTAGTTACATGCTAAGATCCCTTACGCTATATCATTTACGGTTTTTTTAATCTGTAAATTTATGATGGACTAGGTCAATGCATTTTTTATAATCTGTTCAATATTGTTTTGAATTATGATTGTCGAAGAAAGAATTTTATTGTTACGTTGTTGAAAAATAGATACAAAAAAAGCAGATTTCCAGGAGAAAGTTATTTTTGTCAAAATATTTTTAATTATAATTATTTTATAAACATAATAATAAATATCATTTTTTGTCTGGAAAAAGAAAGTCAAATAAAATAGAAGTGATTAGTTAACATCTATCTTTACTGAACCAACCACTGACAATTCATTCTGGTCTTCAAAAGAATAGCAATACAATCCATACATTAGTTCGCAGTATCACGTCAATAATTCAATTAATTTCTTTCTGAAAATTGTTTTTCAGCATGAGTTCGGAGAAGACTCTTAAAATTTATAGTTTCTCGATTTCAGGAAAACTGTTTTTAATGTTGATTTTATCCGAAAGCCATTAGTTTAGTGAAAACGTATACATGTAAAATGATAGTTGTATTAAAAACTGTTGGCATAATACATGAATAATTGTACTAAATTTATTATTCCATTTAAAAAATATTGCTGCTTCTAATCTGTTGAAGCCGCCGAAATGTTCATTTCTTTTGATGACTTCTATAATTCTATTTCAAACCATCAATTAAATGGGAGAAAGGTTTTGACAGAGGATAGTTTTAAAGAAAATATTTCATAACTCAATATTTTAAATATTACCAACATTTATTTTCTATATATACAAAAGGCTTATTCATTTTTTTAATGACAACTCCTAAGTTCTCTTATCATTTATTCTTCACTTGCATATTTCTATATGTACACAAAATTTATTACTATTTATTACTATTTACATTGGCATACGGCATTACAAAGTAGAAATAAAATGACTAGTTTCGAGGTAAAAAAAATTTTTTTTTTTCAAAATCACATGAGTGGTTGACTAAAGTTCCTTTTCATCAACATTTAGTTGTATAAACGTAAATGTACGTACGTAGGCTTTATAACAATTTTAGTACAACACGTATACAGTTAATATTCATACACACGAAAATGTGAAGTGGCAATTTTGAATATAGGTGGTGTTCCTTTCATTTACATTTGAGTCAAAGTTAAATTGCCTGAGTTGGATTAGCCTCTACATTTATATTGAGGTAACACGTATATTAATTAACCGCTTGAGTGGCGTTCCAAAAAGTTTTCTCATATTGCGTTTGTAGATTTTGTTTTTTGTTAAAAAATGTTTTATTACAATTAGATGAAATATAAATATGAAATTGTCTTTAATTTTGTTTCTCTTGTGAAATTTCTTACATAAAAAAGGATAAAATTCACTCTATATTGCATAAAATGTATGAAACCGCCTTTGCTTTATTAATTAGTGATATTAAATATGACAATATTTCATTACAAACGATCACGTTCATCAAATATCTTGTGCATCCAATCTTTTTTAATAAATATTAAAACTTGGACCCAAAGTCAATGTTCCACAGTTATTTATTCTATTTTAATGGTATTTCCACAAAATATCAATTTTAGGGAGTTTATTTGGTATAGAAATCAATCGTTATTCAAAGTCATAGTACTATATCTCAATGTTTTCAGTAATACTCAGTGATTCCTATTTAATAGTTTTGTTATTCTTAATCATAAGGTAAAAACAACATTCTTAATATCATATTACTGTCACATTTTTACATGTGATTCACAATCTTACAAAATTGAATGCAGTCCTCGAGATGTGTGATTTATTATTGTTTCCCTGTATTTTTAGCAGTCTTAGTACTGCCATATTCATGCTTGTTTGGTACGCATGTTTTACAAGTTTATAGGAACGAAGTGTTTGGTTGAAAACGAGCATCTAATGTTAACAAGGTTGCTTTTGTCAGCCACAGCTTTCATGAACGCGACGTTGTGCGCCTCTTTCCCAAGCGTTATTACTTTATTAACAAATGAAAATGTGCCAGCAAATAATTTTAACGTAGATTTGGTTCGACTTACTATAACCTTGCCGCATTGAAAAGTTTATTGTCTTTGATTGTTAGTAAATCGATAGTACCGACACGACTACTATATAATATACGCTGTAATAATTCCAATGCGCAGGCACTTGTCAACTAAGCAATAACTCACCCTTTTTCCTTTGATCAAGGAAAACTAAAGTAATATACCTGTTAATCTCACTATCAAATATCTGGTTGCCAGATGGAACTAAATGGGTGAAGAGCTTGAGTGGATCTGTGCGCGGACTGAAGTTGCTAGTATCTATTTGGCACGCGCTTGTCTGGCAGTCAGTCCGTAAAGTCGGCGCAGTCGGAAGGTAGGCCAAATTCGATGCAGCTGTATCGACGATCACTGCGAGGAATTTTGAGACAAGGCTCGCTGGACCACCTGGCCAAATCTCAGATGGAGCCGCTGCTGAAGCTGCTGGAGAGCAGGCTGGAGTCGGCCAGGCTGGAGTCGCACTGCATGACCCAGTCCCAGACCCTCTTGGTCATGTCCTTCTGGTTGAGGGTGGTCTCCAGGCCGTAGCTGTTGAGCAGTTTCTTCAGCTTGTTCTTGTTCTCGTCGAGATTGCGGTCGTCGATGATGGTGTCGAGGTAGAGCAGACTGTCCGGCCTCTTGGTGAAGCTCTCGGCGGCTGCGGCGGCGGCTGCGGCTGCGGCGGCCGCGGCGGCTGTGGTAGCCGCGTCGACAGACGTGGAGGTGGCGCTGTGGCTGATCTTGCCGACGAACCAGCCGTCCTTGAGGTACTTGTTTATCTCGGTGACGAGGGGCCGCTTGTCGGGCTTGTGCTCGAACACCCGCCTGAAGTAGCGCAGCAGCCTCGGGGTGAAGCGCCGGAAGTTGGGGGGAATCTTGGCGGTGCGCCGCTTGGACCAGCGCTGGAACACCGAGTAGTCCGGGTCCTGGATGAGGTCGGCGCTTTGCCAGGGTGGATTGCCCGTCAAGCAGACGAACAGCAGGATGCCGAACTGCCAGCAGTCGGCGCTCTTCTTGCAGGTGTACTTCTCGTTCTTGATGATCTCATAGATTTCCGGCGGCAGGAACTGCATCCAGCTGCAGCGGATCTTGCTAACGAGGCTGCCCTCGCGCTTGGTGCTGCCGAAGTCGCAGAGCTTCACCTTCGACATGTCCTGGGCGAATACCAGCACGTTCTCGAGCTTGACGTCGCGGTGGGTGAGCTGCTTCGAGTGTACGAAGTCCAAGGCCGAAGCAAGCTGCGAGGCGATCTTCTTACAGACCTCCTCGCCGAGGCCACCGGCCCTGACGTTGCCAGCTAGGTCCCCGAACGGCGCGTACTCCTGGGCGAACACGTAGCAACTCTCGGCCTTGAAGGCCACCGCGTACGAGCAGAGGATGTTTGGGTGGGGGCTCAGGTGATAAGAGTAGTGGAACTCCCGGAAGAAGTCCCTTTCGCTGGTTAGCTCCTCGTGAACGGCCTTCAGCACTACCTGTGTCTCGGTCTTCCGGTGGCTCGTCAAGTACACCTTCGCGAAGCTGCCCTCGCCTAGGATCTTGTCAATGTGGTACTCCTTGGCCAAATCGAGCTCCTCCAGAGGCATCTCCTGTACCTTGTGGATGCTCGACTCCTTTTTCTCGTGCAGCTTCATCTGTAAACAGACGAGCGTTCGTCTACATCATTAACTGCGTATCCTCGTCGCGGCATCGATCCGAGCGCGAACTCGATCAACGACAATCATCCCTTGACCCAATGACCTTAGTGCCGAGGTAACGCAAGCACGCATACGCGACGTAGTTTTTTCCTTCTGCATGTGTGCGTGCGATCGTTAATGCAGGCGAGAGGGGCACGCGCGCGACAGGGCAATATACGTCACTGGCTACGTCAGTGTGGCGCAGGGCTGTGTATATAGACCTCAGCTCGATCAAGGCACCGTAGAGCCAAGATACGCCAATCGACTGTATATAATGCATCTCGACGGAATCAATGTTCACACGCTTCATTTACATTTTCATCCGGCCGAGAACAATTCCAATCACAACTCCTCGCTCAACCACAATCACATCTCTTCCGACTCATTCAACCTCTTTTTCTGTCTGCTGAATATCGATCGCCTATTTCAACATTGCATGCATCCGTTGATATTCAATTTTGGCGCTTAACCTAGCATTCATAATTTATTTACTGAAAATGACGTTAGCCCTACGAAGTGACTAACCGTTATATTATTTAGACACAATTTTAAATGAACGAGTAAATCTTCGGAAATAAAACTGTAGCCGTCATATTTTAACTTATGCTATAGTAAACTTTACAATGTGGGCTGATATGACTGAACGAACCATAAAACCGGGTTTGAAAACTCATTTAGACTTCAACTTTTTTCAATAACATCCTTTGAAAATTAGCAATCTAATGGCAGTGTTGGTTGGAAATCTTTGATATCGTTTTAATCTAGCTCAACATAACTGATAATTTAACAAAAAACAAAATTAGATTATTATTATACTAACAAATATAGGACAAATTTATCGAAATAGTCTATATCATCATTTTGTCGTTAACTCAATCAACAAAAGCTTTCAGATTACGTTGTAACCGTAGTTACAAAAAAACAAACATTTCGCTTGAAGACGATTATACGTAACGAGTTTTATCTCGTTAAATTGTAATGTTTTATCAGTACTCGACAAGTAGATAATGAAGGTTACTTTGCACGTAAAGACTTTAATTTAATTTATTTTACTTAACAGCATTATTAATTAATTATTTAATCAATATCATGGTAGTACTTGGTGTTCAATGATTTTACGAATAATCCTTCATATTATTTCATTACCTTTGCAAATCAGAATCCATTAGCAACTTTAGTTAATATTACAAAAATACAATGTCAGTTATTAACATCGTCTTTTAATTGACTGAAAATTTCAATGAATTGAACTCATTAGAACTTGTTTATTATTTCTACAGACACGATTCCGGTTACTCTTCAAATATGCAGAGTTAAAATCGAAGTATCTATTAGCTTCATCAATAATAAAAATATTAATAGTCAATAATTAATCGAAAACGATGTAAAATAACGGGCCGTATGATAAAATAGCTCGATGAAAAATGGAACAATAAAGAATAAAATGAAAGAATAATAAAAGTAAGAGAACAAGAGGGAAGTGTCTAATCTCGAAAAAAAAATAATCTCAGCGAAATGTTGACTTTATGTTTTAAAGCTTGGAACTTTTGTCCAGTTAACACCAGTTCTTGGCGTCTGTCATGAGTTAGTAGACAATAAGTATATATAACTTTTGTTTGTCAGGTCTATTTTAACATGAGCGAGCGCGTCCGGCGAAAAGCTTTCAACAACCAGTTTGCCATTGTTTTCCGCAATTTATTAGTTTGAACGGACGACAGTGAAGGTAGGAAGTACTGGCTTGCCCGCAAGTAAAGTGGCGTCTGTGGCACTCACCTTGTGCGAAGATCCTTCGCAGGCTCGTCCGCGGAAAGAAGAGTCCTTGGATAGCGTTAGGATAACCATGGGCTAAACTTGCTAATAACTGAAAACTCGGTAATAGTAGGAAATATGGCACACTCGTAAATACAGAAGCGCCCGATTGGCCGACAGGTGTGTTTACTCGTTATCTCTCGCTCGAATGACTGCGCGATAGATCACGCTCTCGACACTGTTCGACACACTGTGCTTACATTTTCGTGGCGGCGCGGCAACTCACTCGCGTCTGGAGGCGTCGCGACGCCCGGCCGCCTTTATATACCTCAGCCGGCTTGACGGCGCAAGCGCCTGCGCCCGTACGGAGCTTTCTCTTTGTGCACTTCGACCAGTTGAATGCAGCATTGCCAGCTATACGTCACGCGCGCATGCACGCGCCATGGCGGCAAGAGCTTTTTCTTTTTTATGATACCTCTCCCGCGCTTGTGACCATAATACACCCGACGGCTACACCTGAGTGCGATATGTTTCAAATGCGCGGCCAAAGTCAATATTGTCATGGATGTTTATCAAACCCGTTCAATTTTACTTGGAATCCGATCTCGTAAACTTGTCAATCAATGTTTTTCTTAACGATGTTCAAATATTCCACGTTCGCTCAGAAATTCGAAACAATAAACACACACCTAATGAATTGACCGACCGGAGATGGGTAATTTTCCACTTGGAACAATTGTAACTCTCCAGTGATATTTCACGATCGTTGTTATTTAAATAAAAGCTCGTCCCGCTAAATGGACGGGCAGAGACAAAATAAGATACGTTACTTCTTATATATAATTGCGCAATTTCAATAAAGTTTTCTCGCAAGCCCATAATGCAGTGCTTCCTTGAATGCAATTCTAGTTGAAATTGCGTAGGTGGCTTTGTCTGCGCTGAGAGCGTCAGCGAGCGCTGATTTTGTTATTCGCTAGTTCTGAGCCTAAAATCCTCGCACTCTTTCGAACTAAAAGTGGATTACCGTGTGTTTGCACGAGAGAACGTTTATTTACATTTGCCATCAAGTTTTGCGATCGATGCGAATTTCCCATTTGCTATACGACTCTTATTATCCGTTTGATCTTACGTGATTCATTTAATATTCTCAATTTATTAGATGTAACAAATTATAGGTACTATTAATAGTCACCACTAGGAAAGTTAGGCGAAGCCAGTATTTAACCATCGTAAAGTGGTTTATCAAATTTTTGCTTGGCTCTAAAATCGTGCTTCGATTTAAATTTTCATCAAAGCATTTTCATAGGAGCGACTAACGCGGAAAGGCGCTTATTGATGCGAATCCGAATTTGCCATTTGCGACGCTTTTTCGGTGACGCCCACGTAGAAATAGATCGAGTCGCGAGGGGAAAAAAGGACGCGAAAAGGAATTTCTCCAGGTGTCGCAAATGAGAGCAAGAATAAAAAAGGAGCCGATGAGAAAGAAGTAGGAAAAAGCTCGAGGCACAAGATTGGCGACGAGTCCCGAGCGAGAGGGAAAGAGACGTAGGCGTGTCCTCGTATCTCACGACTACACTGGTCTATAGTCGCAAACTATACATAGCAGAAGAAATAGATAATGGCACTCGCTGTGGGCAAGGGCAAGTGGGCACACATACTGAGGACAAAAAAAAAGGGAATACTATTCGCACAGCTCGAATGCGGACTCCTATTTTTTCCCTTCCGTCGCCGCGGACTTACGATGTAGACTACGTATGACCATTGTCTATATACTATGACGTAAATTTCTTTTTCATGCCTCAGTTACATGTCATGCATACTTTTTACGTAATATATGTTTATTTTTATAACACTACTATCCCCATTCACCGCTGTTTGTATAGCTACCATAATAGTGCCACATAATCGCGTAAGGAATCCTTTCAAATTCCTACATTTTCACAGTATGCTTCATCAACTTTTTATGCACTTACTTTGTTTTCATCAGACATACGCGACGGATATTTTTAAGCCCAACAAGTAATACGATGCTTGTTAAGTTTTAACTCGCTCGTTACTTATTTGCGTTCTTGTATTCCAGTTTTCGAAGTTAAAGTTAATCTAGCCATTACGTAAAAGAGTCAGATAAATAAAAATAAGACGCCAAAGTTTTCGTGCTTCAAAATAAGTTTTAGTGTACCATAAAAAAAAATCTACATATAAAAAGTATAAAATGGCTCACGCTAAGACGCGAGTCGAATGCTGTTTTATAATAATAAAATTAATCTAACGATTATTCGCTTTATAAATAAACTAGTCTTGACAAATAAAATTATTAAAGTTAGAACGATTCGCGAAAAATCATGTGGCCGAATAAAAGAAATGGGTAAAACTCGCGTGGGACATTAACGAAGCAAAGTGATAAGCTCGACGGCGTTAAAAATAGGAAGCTTATTAGATGACGGGCGAGCCGGGAATGCACTTGAAAAAGTTTAGGAACGCAGAACAGATTAGGGAGGCTATAATCATTAAATGTGTCAACATTTATCGATCGCCAACTTGGCAGAGCGCGCGCAAGCCCGTTCGCCGTGGCAGCGTTGTTAAAGCGCCACCGGCTGGAATTTTCTGGAACAATGGACCACGAGACCGAAGGCTGTAATCCATACAGGTTGCCAACGGTAGCTGTCAATAGCCCGATGAAATTTCCATCCCGCTTAAATGAACAAGTTATTCTTGCGACTCGAGTTGAAAATTTTAAGGAATGCCTGCAATTACGAGCGAATGTTTGGCGATCGACTTAAAAATTCATTGAACTATCGATCGGGCGAGCAATACGAACAATCGAGTATCAGAGTCGCATATACAAGTGAGTCGGGCAACGAGTTTGGATAATAGCTGAGCTGGTCTGGCTTGAAGTGTGGCAGGGACAAGGCCGTTCTAGAAGCAAACGACAGCCTGGCAGCAGGTCTAACAAAAAGCGCACTTGTTGCTATTCGTCCGAATCGAGACTCGTTGAGTCGGAATCGCGACTAGCGGGGGTCCATGAGCTGTCCGTAGAGCAGTCGGATTCCGAGCACGACTTGCTGGTCGTAAAGAAGCTGTCGCTCGAGTCCTCGCTGTTGTAGGAACAGCTGTCCGACGAGTCCGACGAGTCCGTTGACGAGCTGCTCGTGATGTTGCCGGTAGTCGCACTGCTGCTGCTGGTGCTGCTGCTGCTACTGCTGTTCAATACTGCAAAGCGACACGCGATTATTGGCAGACTCATTGTTTTCGTTGCCCCGCGCTCAAGCAGCGCTCTATTTATTCTTGACGTTGCATTTACGCGTATTTATGGAATGTTCAAACGGTCAATGTCAAGCTCATTGAGCGAACTTTCCACGCTTCCCGTAATATTTACATAACGTTATCGCTTGCAACCTCATAAAGCCGATTGACGCTGGTGCGACATCGTGAAAGCTCGCAAAGCCAGCCGAAGAGAAGGACTTACGAGCCAACAAGGCGTTGCGTTTGCATTTTTTGCACATATGCTCCCGATTCCTGCGAATTCGTCTCCGATTAGGCTCGTCAATCTCACTGTTGTTGCTGTAGGAATTTCGCTCGGAATCACTCGAACGTTCCGAGTCAGCGTCCGAACGTGACATGATTCTCTTTAAGAACAACAACTACGCTGCTCAGCTTCCTCTTCTTCTGTCCACTTTCTGTCTCCTCTTCTTCTCCTCGATCTCCGTATACTCTTTTCCACGCAAGTACACTCACTGCTTATTCTTTCTCTCGATCACTGGCATTAACTGAGATATATTTTCACGGGCCGAATGCCTCTCAACCGATTCTGCGAAATCCTCTAGCCCGATTTGAATTCGACGAATCACCAAACCGTCTGTAAGCGTCATGCCATTGTCTGCGCGCGCAACCTACATAATAACTATTCGTTAAATTCCTCTCATTAGCGTAGTTCATCAAGTACAACTTCAGTTTACTTTTCGAAATTAACGTCAGCTTATTTATTTTACTATTTTTTTACGCGAGTATTTCACTGAATGAATAAGGCGCTACCTTCAGCATCCTGCAAACGTTACGTAAATAAACTATCGAATATTGACGTACTCGCGACTGACGTCATAATCGTGTAAGCTTTAGCGTAATATCCAATGGATTACTGTTGTAATCAGACGATCTGCATATTAATAGTGCGTTCATTTGCAACTTCACTCATCAATTCCAACTCAAATATTCATTGTAAATACAATTGTATCCTTTTCTAATATTTAACGGCGAATCCAATCACTACAATTTTTCAATTTTTAGGTAAAGAAAAGTTAAGCATCACTTGATAGATGATGATTATTTTTCTATCAACGTACACTCCGTTGTTCAATTTCGTAATCGTTCAAATTAAAAATAATTTTTCTACTTAATCTCGTTCTCTTAGAATAATTAAAAACAATAAAGTTCAAGTAATATAATGAAATAATTCAAAGGACTCGAATAATAAAATGCTATATTCCTTTTCCACTTTTTTCACTTTAACAGTATATTTGCTTACTAATTTAGATACCGACGATTATACATTTTTCCATGAAATTGCACATGTTCTGTTGTGTGTTGGCATGTATTTGATTATTCTGAAACCTAAATTGCAGTGACTAAATCAGCAGTTTCTATTTTGTATTCATTACCGCAAAAAAAAGTTATTTCTTATCAAATTTTGAAATTAATTTAAGCTAAAACTAACACATTCTATTTCGAATGTAATTTGTAGTTTCAAAATGACGCTGTGTAGCTTGCAGATGAATTTAACGTCAATAAGCTGATGCAGGAATATTCAACAGAGATGTCTTAACAGCTACAGCACTCGAGGACAGATAGGGTAATAATAATCACATCCTTTGTAACTGTTGCTACAAATACGTCTAACATTCACTTCTCAAATTTTCTGCTCTAACTTATCAAAAGTTATTTGACAACTGAGTTGTAAAACGGCGGTGCTCAAAGCATTCACTAGTGTTATTAAAGTTTGGCAGAAATAAAATGAAAAAAGAACCACTTGAGCACTTCAAGTTTGTAAAATATTAATAGAAGCATAAAAATGTTTTTTATATCTGAAGAAAGCATTAAATGTTGAAATCAGTGACATTTATGTTTGAGAAGGTTTGATGAACTCATCTGAACACCTACGATTACTCGTTAGTTTATCGTCTTCACTCTGACAAACATAATTTTAAAATAGGTATACTAGACGAATTTATATTTTTACCGGAAGAAATAAACTAGCGAAAAAAATTTTCGTGATTTTTCTGACGGAGCTTTAAAATTTAAATTTAAGTAAAACGAAAACTTTGAAAAGATAAGAGAAAACGAAGGGAGGTGAGTCCGCATCATCGATGACTGCCCACACCAGAGTGCGAAGGCATGAACGAGAGAGAGCCTTCTCGAGTTGAATTCCGCCCACAGCCGTGTGTGTATACTATTCACGGGCAGTTGACTCTGCGATCCGGCGAAAAGAAAAAGTAAAGTCGATGAGCAAGAGACCGTAGGAGCTGACTGCGCTCAGCTCTTTATTGCTGCTGGAACATATATAACAGTCTCATCGTTGAGATTCTGTGTATAGTGGTAGGCTATCCACCGTCAAGCTAACATGACCAAGGTGAGCGTTCTGCGACAAATACTTTGCTTTTGGTTTCGAATTTTTGCCTGCTGAAAGTGTAATATATTTTTTATAGATATAGTGCTATTATATTTTAGTGCAAGTTTTATAATTTTTTTCATTTTTGAATGTCTTCGACATTGACGTTTTAAAAATATGTTATATAATAATTATAATAATTAATAATAATAATTATTAGTGTGTGTCAATAAAGTTTCAGTTACTTGTTGTATACCTATGTGTCTACGGAGCCGCTAGCACACCATTACAGAGGTACGAAATTTTTGACGACGTTGAAAATGAAGCAGAGATTATTGAGGCGGCAGAGATCCTAAAAGGCTCAAATAATTTACACGAGAAGAGTGTACCAGTCATCCGACTTACTATTCCTGCTGCCTTTTTCAACTTGTATGGCAACAAAAACCTTGCCGAGCGTGCTCAAGTCCCATATAACTCGGCACAATTGTACTTACCTGGTCTCCGAAATTTAGATGAAAAAGCCATTCCAGAGCAAGTTATCGCTAGAATGTCACCTAGACACCCCAAGTCCGAAGTTGAGTCTATCTTCGTTTGAGCAGCATTTTATTCTCATTCGATAAACGATTTCTAAGATTAATATTCAATTTCTCTATAAAGTAACATCCACGCGAGGGAGTTTCTCCTTTTCTCTACAAATTTTTTTCTATGCATCGTACTAATTTATGTAAACATTAAGCCTGATCAGAATTAAACGCATAATTTTGTTATCAAAGTAAGTGTACGATTTACCTGCCCCTCTTTAGAAAAAATTCATTCATAGTAAAAACTTGTCTTAAAAATATTTGATAATTGTTCTTCATAATTTACGCATATTTGGACTTGAACAAGTTGGCGAAATGAACTAAGGTCTACAATTGCAACATTTAAGGATATTGAATTATTAGATCTTTAAAAATCCAAGGTCTAGTGCTTTTAGAATACTTAACACATAATATAGGACGACTCGCTACACGGAATTCATCTTAATAAAATCGATTGTAATATCTTAATTTTAAATGATGGTTGCAATGGAACGCTATGTCATTAATATATTAATAAAAATTATAAATATTATCATATTTTTTAGAATAAAAACAAATGCCACCAAGTGCCAAATAAACAATATAAAAATATTAAACTCTACGTTAACCACTTGGGGTAACCTGACTCGTATCTTCAGAGAAGCTTCACTTTATCACCGCAAGAGTAAATATTATCTAGCTTTTGCGTCGGTAGATGGCTGTAGTATCTACTGTTCAAAGCTTTCTCATGCTAATAATTTTATTTCGATTACAATTATTCTTTATAAGTGGTGATGTAGTTGTTATTTAAATTAAAGACGCATTGATTATTTAAGTAAGTAATTGTAAGTATAATCAAGTAATTCAATATAATTAATGAAATTTAACAAAAATTTATTTTATATCATGTTGGTATTTAATATTATAAACTGCTAATTTAGAAACATTTAGTTAGCAATAAAATTCAACGGCATTGATGATAAATTAAGAGTTTCGAATTTTGAAGCTGTACAAAGCCACTTAAAGCAGTGTACGTAATACTTAATGCTATCACGTTTGTATGAGTAGCTTTGAGCCCCACAAAACTTTTTTTCCTTGAACGAAAATACTGATTTGAAACTGCAATCATGTTGCACATATATTTTCAATCTTACATACACTGCTTGTCGGTGGAGCGAAATCTAAAAAAATTCTTTTCGGACATATTACGTCAATAAATATTATTCAATATCACTTTTTCTGAGTATTTCAAATAATAATTTCATAACGCTACAATGAAAATAAAATAAAAATCACCAGAATTTAATACGAAAAAACGAATAAAACTATTTATATATTTATACTTTCTATAAAGTTTATTTATACCTAAGATTTGAACACATCGTAATATTGAAAAATATGTTCAGATGAAAACGATAACTTTTTAAATAACTTTTTTTTTTGATCAATAGCAGATAAACAGTTTTAGCTGTTTCTACGTCAAATTTCATGTACGGAAATAATCATTAATTGCTGTCCCCAAACTTTAGGCGACAAATTATTATTGCTATTATAAATAGCTATTATAAATAAAAAATATACGCTATCCTTTATTAAAAGATCTTCAAATCATTAAATAATTAAAAATATTTAAACAATTACAGTTTTCTTACTATAAATCTTTCATTTTATTTAGAAAGTTCCGCCGTATAAGTTACAATCGTTGTATTTTGCAAAATTATCAAATGTGTGAAAGTCTATTCGTGCTAATTTAATAAAGATTCAAAATTATTTTTTAAGTTTTAAATAATAAATTAAAGGAATACTAACTTAAAACTATGATGAAAAATTTTAAAAACTTCACAGTATTAGCAAACTTTTAAGAATTTTAACAAGTCGCAAGTGTTGCTTTAGAATTCTCGATAATCTGGCTTCTTTGACAGATTTTTGCAAAACCGAGAATTTTTTATAACTTTCGAGAAACTTTCGTAAACTTTAGTACTTTATGAGATCTTATAGACCATAAAGATATTTACTTATTCAGTGTAATTTCAAAATTGAATTTTGATTATTTTCAGCATTTAAGTTTCTTTTTCAATTGAGTTCCAGTCTGTTGACTTCATTTTTATCATAATATATTTAAGATATCTTCAACTCTGTGATGTAACTTATACGATAAAAAAATAGCTGTGTTGAAAGTTTTTATTACATATTTTAATATCAATGAACTATATTAAAACTTTTATAAATTGTAATATTCTAAGTTTTCATAATATTGAAATTTCGCTGGTTTTTATTCTTTATGAAATTTATCAGTTTTTATGCGCTTACATATTAAAAAATATTTGATAAAAATAAAGCCAGCTATCTGGAATATTTAAATATTTATTACTTTTTACCATAGGTGTACATCATTTTTGATAAAAATATTATAATTCAATAAAATCGTAACATTACTGACAATTTTTATGAAACTTTTAATCAAATAAGTAGTCAAAGAAAATAAGTTTAAAGCCAGAAAATGACCACTGTGAGTTTTCAACATTCTCAAATATTCAGTAAGCTTACATTTTGAAATATTCTCATGAAGTTTGTAAGTCGGTAGCCCTTTGATTTTCACTTAAATATATGTATACTGAAAATTTATGAAAATGCTCAAATGATTCGATTTGAAATTCACTAAAAAATCATTTATTTCTATATATATATTTAGAAAATGGCTTTAGTTGATTAAGAATTCCTTTAATCATAAAGTAATGAAGACAAAGTAATGAATCTGTAAAATGATGAATAAGTATAACGATTGACAATTATATTAATTTATTATAATTCACAATTATAATAATTCACTATTGATATACTACATAGTTGTGTATATACTTTACACTACCTGATCGAATAGAAATATATAATATATTATCATTATGATTGAAAACCAGTGGAA